AAATGTCTCAGTAACATCCATACGCCTAAGGGAAAATTTAAATTATAAAAATTTATTCCTGTCAGATTGTTTGTTTGAATTTCAAGTTGTTTTGCTGTTCCAGGAATGTTGCAGTGTCAGTAGCAGGATCATGAAGCCAGGTTGAGCCAAATTGGCTTGCATACATTTGTAATTTTAGATTTGGAGAAAAATTAGTCAGTTTAACATGGTTAATACATTCATGCTGTAAGGTTAGTGATAGTAGGTTCTTCAGAAATCGAGACATGCAATTACCTTAGTGCAGATAAACAAAATCTTTTGTGCATGTGTTGCATGTGGACGGATATGCAAATTTGCAATATTCCATGAACACTGGTGTAGCTTGAGTCAAGGCTGCCATTCAAAACTTGCAGGAATAGCCTTGCGTGGTGTGAGGAGCTTTTAACTGCAGATTACTGAAGGTTAGGGTTAATTTTACTAAAAAAACGAGATGGCAGACTGGCACAGATGTGGTTGGAAGATTTTTTATATATTTTGAAGGATATCAGTCCCTACAGGTTCCACTGCAGTCTTCTGGTATAAAATAATCCTGCTTAGCCACAGTTGGCTTGGTCTAAGATGCTGGCAAATACTTCAGCGTTAGTATGAGTGACTTCACTCTCTACGTCCACCAATTCATGTTTTTAGGTTTTGATGTTAGTTCTGCAGAAACGGTTCAGAGCAACTTAACCCAGAACACAGAACGAAGAACACTTTTGTATATAAAAAGCAATGCTTGTGATAGGCAAAGAGGAATGTAATTGCTCTAGTAGGCAACCCAGAATACTAAATTAGTGAATTTGTGTTACGTTGAAGAACAATGTCTTTAGGTTTCTCCTCAGTAGCCTGATATTTTTTACTGTTTTTTTCTCCTCCTGGAAACCTTAGCCCTTCAATATCAAGCTGGTGTAGGCTTTGTGAGATGGGTGTTTCAAACAGCTTTACTAAGTCAACACTAATTTTCTTGACTTGGCCATCAAGATTGTTTCTTGCTAGCCAGCAGGTTTCTGCTTTTGGGTGAAACTTTGCTATAGTGAACTTAAAAATAACCTCATCACCCCATGCAATTTTATTATCGAATTTTAAATTTCAAAATTGATAAAAGTGAGGTGACATTACCATGTATGGCTAGTGCCAGGCTGCACTAGCATTGTGGACTACAGGTATGCAACTTTTGCTAGAGTGTTAATCCCTTCAGTTAGTGTTCTACTTGTGTCCCAGTTGAGAGAGTTGCTGGCTTTCCAGTTAAGGCAGTAGTTGAACCATTTTGGTGATTGCTTTCCCCCTTGGCAGATGTTTGGGCCAGTTGAGCAGTTAATACCCATGGGAAGTAGCCTTAGGAGCATGGGATGTGTGCAGCCTGTGGCAGTGACTGGCATGGAAAGGAGACTCACTTCTGTCTGAGGAGGAAAGGCGAGCTTCCAGTTCTTCTGCAGCTGGTCCAAGGTTCGAGTTTGCACAAGACTGAAGTACCTGTGGGACATCACTTTCTCACTGACCTTTTAATAGTGGCTTGCTCTGAGATGTTTTAAATTACCAGTGCTAATGAGACTGTTAATTACACCCATCCCAATGCTGTATTACTTCCTTCCTCTCTTCACTGGCATTCAGCCTTCCCAGAGCATAGGCAGGGTGGTTGCTGGCTGAGGGAGTATGTAGCTCAGTAATGTCAGATAATTTGTTCTCATGGACTGTGTACGCCACAGGGAACAAGACCCTAATGTTGTAATCCTGCCCCTGTCACTGCGTTGATGTGCTTTATGGATCTGTTTCTTTCTTCCCATAATTTTTAGTAGTCAGTGAAGTCCATGGGGGCTGGTAAGAGGCTTGGCAGTGTAAAGCACTCTGAATGTGCTTGTACAGCATGGGCTGTAGAGTTTCCTTGTATCCAGCTGAGCATGGGTTTTTCAGGGCTGTTTCATTCCAGGATGAACATAGCAGAATCTACAACATCCTGGACTTTTCCTGTGAAAAAGTGTTGTTTCTTTCTTGCAGCAACTGTCCAATCCTGGCAATCATGGCTGGGCACCTGGTGGCAGCAGGACCCTGGCAGCAACTTGCAGAGATTCACCACTTCTATTTTATGGTTCAGCTAAGATGAATCCTATGGTTCATTTCTCTGAAAACTCTGGGTCAGTTTCTGTGCTAGTCCATCTCTGCCAGTAGCAAAGCCAAGTAACGCAGTCTACTGGAAATGTATTTGGAGATTGATGCCAGATTCCCAAACTGGAGAGTGTTAGCTTGCAATTCAAGTGGTGCTGACGTTTGCGGGAAGGCTTTTTGTTCTAAGCTGTCAGATGTTAGCCAGTGTATGTAATTAACTTGGTATAATTCTGCTTCAGAATGAAATATTCATTCAAAAGAGACTTAAAAAAAACATCCTGATGTTTTTAATGTCTGGGTAGTAAGTGATGCTGCAGAGACCAAGGCATACATTTATTGTTAGAGAGATTGGTTTCATGGCAACTCCTCTTTGTTACTGTGGTACACAGAAAGTCCCAGAGGCTTTTACTGTCCATCACTTCTTAGGTCTTGTGGGTAATCCAGATACAAAATCCACAGATGTACATTAACAGTGGAAACAGAAAATAATACACAATACAGCCTGAAATGCTCTGGTTGGCTAATTATCCCAAAGGACAAATGTAAAACTTTATTTTGCATAGTAGTTTTTCTAGAGTTTGGTAATAAATCTTGTGAGCAGAGCAGGAAAGGGAATGGAAACGGAAGGGGTAAAAAATTTGTTTTGCCCCAGAGGAAATTCAGAAGTTAGTTAGAGAAGTGATAAACAGCACCACCAAACCAGAAACCCATGGTGTGCAGGTGGTGTAAGACCAAAAGCTCTGCCCTGAGTCAGGGAGAGTTGAGGATTTGCTGAGAAGAAAGTTATGGAAGTTTAGAAATCACAAAGCCCATTTGATTAAAAGATGGGAACAGGGTGTTGTGTTTAGTTGCTCAATTGCTCCATCCAATTCTTATTTACCTCCCCATCACAAAGTTCATTGACCACTTCTGGTTTCTAAATCTGTTACATATTTTCATTCTAATGCTGTACCATGCAGAAGGAATTGATTATTTTTAAGATTTGTATTTTATTGTTTCCTCTTTCGAAAAATATCCTAGGCACCAAAATTCCCCTTTTGTGCTTTATCAAAACCAAAATGAAGGGTTTGCCTCAGAGTGCAAGCTGAATTTGCTAAGTTTATGATCAGAAAACAACTTCCTGAAAGATGTATAGGCAGGGGATACAGAATTGATGAATCCAGCTGAACACTGAGATCTTGTCATGCTTGAGCCTTTTTTTTTGTTGGGAGTGGAGTTTTTATTGTTGCTTTGGTTTTATTTGTTTAGATTGCATCCAGGATGGACCATATAAAAAAGTCACAAGTATTGATTCTTTGCCTTGTTGCTGGTTTTCTAGTACCACAGGTTTGCTATGACAGACAGTTCAAGTTAAGCAGAGTTATTCTATATTGTACCTTAAATGATGCAAAGTAATTGCCTGGATGACGTTCACAGCAGGCAGGTTGTTACTTGTGAGAAAGGATGAAAAGTCCTTTGCAGCTTTTCAACCTCTAGGTGAGGATTCTTGTTTTGTCTGTGAGTGTTTTTAGTTCCATTTTGCTTTTGTGATCAGGCTGATGAATGAGATTGAGTGGTAACACCAAAAGAAAGTATCTCACTCCGAGTGAAACCTCTTCTTGCTTTTCAAAAAAGTAGTCATAAGACAACTTGTAGCATCAACCAGAGATGACACATGAAGAGAAAATCATGTCTGGGGTGAAATTAGCTTTGCACCTTTGCTTGTTGACATATGCTCCTCACCTACAGCAGCACATTAAAATCATCTTTACATTTTGATATAAAGAAGAGGGAAAGAAAAGACGAAGTTGCAGTAACGCACTAATGTCTACATACATTTTATTCTGAGTATATTAGCATAATGGAAGAACTTGAGTTCATAATTTACTTCAATTCAACTTAGTATTTGATATCAGTAATTATTACCCTTCCTATCTCTGTTTATTTACATGTGGCCTGTGTCCAGCTGTTGTGCCATGGCAGCACTGGAGGATGTGGTGGAGAAGAATATAACTAATTGTTGGCATCCACCCTCGCTGTGCAGTCAGGGAATTGCACAGCTCCAGGCAGCTCAGGGGCAAAAAAACTTTGTGTATGGAAATACTAAGCCCCTACTAACTGTCATTTCAGAGAGGCTTTCATACCGTGCTGTGTTTTTGTTGATCTCACTTTGTAGATACTTTTGTATTTAAAAATTGTCTAGGAGATGCTTTAGAACTACTACCTTCCACTTTATTGATGTCTGCTTGTGTTCACCAGTGGTTTGTTAGCAGACTCGTAATCACTTGGGCTTCTTTTCTATTGTCAATGACAGCTGCAGTAACAATGACAGCACTGAGTCATGTTATGATTTAGACTTAGTTGTGTGGCAGCAGAACCAGAAGTATTAAATTAAGCAGCTCTTTCTCCCCATTTCTCCCTGTTGGAGTACCCTTTATGCCAATACATACCTGTTGTTGATGATAAATGCTTGTGGCAGGGTGTATGCTTGCCCCTCCTTGTTCTGCAGGTTTGTGGGAGCTACAGCCCCTGAGCAAGGAGCCTCCTGCTGTTTTAAAAAGGGGCAGCTGGAACCCTGTGTTGATGCAAGACTAATTCAGGTTATTTTCATGAAGTCTTTAGCTGCATTACTTTGTTTGCCTTGGAGAATAAAATGTATGGTGCCGGGCTTTGTTTCCGGCTTAACAGAGTACAAGTTCAGGGTTCTTGGACTGATACACACCATGATGAGCTGCTTTGGTTTTTATGGGGAAAGTGTTATGTGGATGAGCTGAATTCCATGATTCTGTTTCCTTGAAAGAGGCTGCACTGGATGATTTACCAAGTAGAGCTGCAGATGCTTTTAATGACTGGAATATGTGTAGTTCTTGCTCAAAAGAATTGTTTTCCTTCTTTTGCAGTTTCTTGTGCAGCCAACCACTCAACAGAATTCTTCAGCCTCTTGTTTCAAAAGACCTTGGACAATCTTCTGCTGTTCCACTCCCTTTGGTCCCACATTTCAGCAAAAAAAAAGATCCAAAGGGGAGGATGAGGCAGCTTAGAGGAAAACCCAAAAAAGAGACCTCCAAAGACAAAAAGGAGAGAAAACAGGCAATGCAAGAGGCACGGCAACAGATCACCACCGTGGTGCTTCCCACACTGGCTGTCGTAGTACTGCTGATTGTCGTTTTTGTTTATGTAGCGACTCGTCCAAATACAACTGAATGATGCAGCTTTTCAGACTCTCTAGCTTTGGGATATTAATTTTACCAAGAGCCAAAAGGAACTCTCTGCCACTCTTCTAGTACTTTGCAAAGAATCTTGCTGGTATTTTCAGTCTTTCTCTTGGCTAGGGTCCCATGGATTCTCTTTAGGAATGTAACATAAAACGTATTAGTGAATGTGCCAGTACGTTTTATGGCCCAGTTATGTGCCTTTCAGACTTTTAAAAATGGTGTTTTTCTTAAAGCTGTTTGAAGCTCTATATTGTAAAAGGAAATCGTGTTCTGCTATAAATTTGTAAAAAATCAGCTTTCAGCTTTTATCACTGTTACGGATAATGTTGCTCCCATGAGCTCTTGTATGTCTATTTCAGAACTTCCAAAGAAGTACATTTCTTCTTTGTACTTAATGTCATATGAAGTGCTTTGATTCAGAAAGGATATATTTATTTTTTGAATAAAAGAAGTCTTACTTGGAATCTTCAAATTATTTTGAAAAAAAAAAGTGACATTGTGAAAGCCTACATTGTGTAATAATTTTTTCATCAACCACTATATAGTTCACTCAAAAAGTATTTCTTTTTGGTGCGAGATACCAACATGCAAAGTGAATACTTCAGGATCTGCTGGATGGAATTTTACAGAATTTGGACAGGGAGATTCTGCCAGGTTATGGTGAAGTAACTAATAACAAACTTCATAAACACAGATAGTTGCTTATCTGAATGTTCAATATTTGAAACTGTGTAAGTGGCAATAAAAAGGTGGTTTTGCATATAGCTCTTGATTATTTCTTTTATTAAAACGGGAAAAGTAATAGTGTAACTTTGATCTCTGATCTGTTTGCTGAAGTGAGCTGCTGTCCTGTGGCATGCCCCCATCTCCTGATTGGAAGGAAGCTGTGAGCACAGCTTGGGCAGTTTAATGCTAGGAAATTAAGCTACAGCTTCTCATCAAAATGCCTCAATGACCCTGTATTCTACTACAGCCCTTTCTCATCCAAGTATTTTAAGGCACTCAATAGGCATTAACCTTCAGAACATTTTGGGGAAGGAGATTGAAAACTCTTCACTGCTGCTTAAATGCAGGCCGAGCAAGGAAGAACATGATGCTATGGTGCACTGGTGCATGGCAGGAAATATTTCTGTGCTGAAAATTAGACCCCTTGAGTCTTTCCCTCATGGGTAGTCTTTTGGCTTGGATGTAATCCCGGTGAAGTCAGTGGGACTCTTCACTGAGGTGCCAGTGAAAGAGGGGGCTGTGCTGCATCGCCCCCGTGTACTGCTCCTGTGCACAATGCTGCTGCCAGCCAAAGCTGCTTTACAAAAAAAACCTCAAAACACTCAGGTGGGCAAATGCAGGTCCTTGCAGTGTACTTTGCCCTACGGCCCATGTTCCCACAGCAGGGTGAGCCTATGGCTGGCTATAAACCAGCTGCACTGGGAACGATGTTGATACCTGATTGTGCAAAGGTGGCCACGGCTCCTGACGCGGTGCTAGTGCTGTCGAGAGTGTCTAGAATAAAAATGGCCCTGAAGACCGAGATGCTTTTGAAATACAAACTTCACTAAAGAAAGAGTTTGGATGAGCTGTGAGGTTGTTCCCCCCTGCAGCGTGCATCATAGTTGGGATATCTGCACAGCGAACTGCACAGACAGCATGGCCAGCGTGGTCTGACTGCAAGAGCGTTTACGCACTGAGTGACCAGCGGGAAGTCTGCTGGCAAACCCCTGTGCTCAGCGAGCCGTGTGCTGACACTGGAATTATCTGTGCTTTGCACTGACAACCGCTTCCTTCAGCTGGGGAGCTCTGAAATGATGAATCTGTAAAGGTAATTGCTTAGTCTGTCATCTCCCAGCTGTTTCTGTTCTCCCCCGCACCAAATCCTTGTCCTATTTTTATGGTATCCTCAGTCAGGGATGGCTGCAGTGAAGCTCTCGTAGTTTGCACCTTTTTCGACTGAGCTGTTCAGCTTGAATAAAATTTGTGCCTGAGCAAGTGACCAAAAGTGTATGCAATTTAAATATGCATGTCCTGCAGGGTACTTGATGTCTTGGGTGTCTGGAATAGAAGTGCAGTTTCTGATAACCTCTTGCATAGATTCCTCATCATCCTTTTCCATAGATTCTTAACCAGGGTTTTTCTGATTCTTCTTATTCTGTAATACTTTGTGATGGCTCTAATGAAGTTCCTGTGACAGGGCTTTTTTATGAGCCCAGGCAATGATTTTATAATTCAGAGAGCCTTCCCTGAAATTTTTCAGAGTCCTTAGGTGGTTTTGCCCCACCTTCATTTTCTGCAAGAGTTCAGTCTGTGACACAAGAGCCATGAACTGATGAACTGGCTGATAACAACTAAGTAGATAAAAGGTCAGTTGGGTTAGATAACATTTATGATTAGTCCTCTAATGAGATGTTACATTTCTGCTGCTTTTTCTTACGCCCTTCCTTTATTTCTTGCCATCTGTAAATTCTTCGGGTCACAATAATCTTTTCAGAGACAAATGTCTATTAATAGAAACCTATAGCTAATTAGACACATGTATTTCAATTATCTATAATATACAATTTTACTGAGTGCTAATTGAGAGGAAAATAATGTTACACTTTCTGAATGGTTCATTATGTAGAAGCTGGAATTGATTTCACAGTTCATCTTAAGAAAACCCAGTATTTTTTTCTCTAGTAAACAATGAAATTGGATTCTGACATTTTCTACCAAATTCCCTTTTACTAGTATTGAATATGAGAATGGGGATTTGGAAAAAAGGTATGAAGCCTCTGCAGACATAAACTGTCAAAAATCACTGAGTAATAATGGGGAAGTAAATGAATGGTGGTTGCCCAAATGTCAAGTTGTATGAGCTTCTCAGTCAAAGGTGTAACTGTGCCTCTGTTTTTTTAACTGTATGTATTACTCCAACTGTCAGTTGCCTTCAAAAATGTTTTAGAAATAGGATTTCAAACCTTTTCCCAGCATACAGTAGCTTGTGGCAAAATGGAATGATTTATTACAAGCATTTTCCAGAAAACTCATGCTGAGACACTTCTTCAGCAGTGTCTTATGGTTTCCAAGAGTGCTCATTATCAGGTGAAGTCATTAAAAACCTGCCATTGCCTTCTGATAAATCAAGTTATAGAAGCAGTTTTTTAAACCCGATTTTTCAAAGCATAAATCAAATCTGAGTCAAATACTTAAACATCAAGGTTTGAATGGAGTTTTATAAATGTCTGCAAAGTGCTAAGAAAACAAAGCGATCGTGTCAAGTGTTCCTGCAGTGGGAAAATGCCCAGCTGTTACACATGGCCCCAGCTCCCCAAAGCCAAGTGACAGAAGCCAGTGGCACTGCCTGTGGTCTGAAGGAAGAGCTACACGTATTTTAATAGCTCAGAGAGATTGGCTCCTGGTCTCATGTTTCAATCCAGCTACAAGAAAATATTTACTTATTCGCTGATGCGAAATGCACGCATCAGAGAAGATGCACTGTTCTCTTTTCAGACCGTGTATGTTCAGTGCCCAGATGCTTCATGTACATCTTTGAACGCACCTGTAGCTGTGGAAGAGGTGAAAGAAACAAAAGATTGATCTGTTGGTTTAGGAAGGGACATGGAATGCAGCATATCACAGTCTAGGGTCATTGCTCAATCCACTATCAGAAACTTAGATGCAGTACATTAAAGTACAGCCTATTTATGGATTTGAGGGTGTCCATGTGATTAAATAGTAACTCCCAACACAGTGAACTTTGAGATCTGATCCCCATAGTGAGGGAAAAACAACACACACTTCCCACATTGGTTAACCCTAGCATTTTCTCAGCAGAAGCTGTGTGTAAGAAGAAAAAAAAAAACAAATTTCCCTAGCACAAGGCAGTTTGTGTGTAAAATCTAGTGGATAGTTATTTTGAATGAAATTAAATGGGAGAAAAAAAAGGATTGTGAACGATATAATTGGCTGTTGTAGGTTGTAAAGCCAGAGGGGAATGATACAAGCTAAGGACCTTCTCCCCAGTGCACTCTCCCAGCTGTTGAGTCTGTGGGAGATGCAGGAGCAGAGAGCAGCAGCAGTGAGTGGAGTTCAGCACATACCTGAGCTGGCTGTGTAATCCAGGCTTTGATGACTGGCATGACAGCCCGTAGATGTGAAGTCACCTGGGGCTCATGCATTCACCAGTCTCTATTGACAGCTTCCTTTTCTTTCCCACTGCTGGTGTTTAGTCGAGTTTTGAATTACTATGTGCTAGTGGGCTTGATTCTGTATGCTGTTGTACTGCTCTTCAACCAGGAATTAGAACCAGTTACATGACAATAAAGCCAGAACAGTGACACTGAGGGGTTAGGCACTTCCTGTACCATCTCTGATCACAGCAGAGATTTATTGGCTGTTGTTTAAGTCTACCCATCAGAAAAGCAAGAGAGCTGTGCCTGTGATTGTTTAGTCATTGTTTTTGTGTTCATTTGGCACTATGTTTTGCTGCTGCAGTTTGCATTCCTTTCTACATTGGCTCAGAGTACCCACTGTCTCACACTCTTCCATTCTTACACTCCTAAATTTTCCATACATAAAAGGAGAGAGTAAGAAATGGAAGAAAATGCACTAAATATCCAACTTTCATGTGAGCCACTTTTAAATAGCTATTTAGTATTCAGTAACTGCTGTTTCAACTCCCTCAGAGTAAGTTTTGGGGAGTGAATTGGACAACAATACTCTGGCAGCTCTTATGCCACCAACTATTTCAAAATTACATCTTGATGAAACATGTTGGCAACTTCGTGTATTTGACCTCTGTTTTTCCTTCAGCCAAAAAGGGAAAAAAAAAGCTGGTGGCAGCCTGAACCATTGTTCTTTGTATTTAAAACAAGTCTTTCAACTGGGAGCCAAAAAACTGCTTTTCAGTACAGCTTTGAAAAATCATCAAAGTCCAGCAGCTTAAAAAAATTTTCCATTGCCTCACTATTCACAAAGTCGAATATAAATTTTCTGTATTTTTCCGGCAATTTGCAGCTCCTAAAGATTATACCTTGTCCTGTTAAATGAGCCTAATGATTAATACTTGTTTTTGTTTTTCATTTTTATTGGTGTTTTCAGGAATTTATAGCCTTGGACCCTTCTGATTATTCCTTTTTCAACAATACACATCCACGTCCAACCCCTGTTCATAAATGAGTAATTTCTCAGTCTTTATTATTTCTGCTGTCCATCATTCTTTAAAGTTTTTTTTGGCATGATAACATCAGGAACATGTATCTTCCTTCAGAAACCTCTCACCAGTTCAGTTGAGTTTCTGCCTTTTAATACAACTAAAGTATTCAAACCAGTGGCGTGGCTCCAACTATACTGTGGTAGCAATGTGCTCATTTAAATTGGGGATTGTCAGATGAGCAACTTTTGCTGTTTGGTTGAGAAAGAGAAGGACAACCTTTCTGGTAAGTAGGTGTTAAAAAAATGGCACCTTCATCCATCGTGTCTCAGCACATTTGTGGCACAGTGCTCTCTGAGCAGGCAACAACAGCAACAAGCAGGCTGTTCAGATATAGGTACTTCCCAGTTTTCAGTGCTTCTCACAGGCAGTTGTTTATATGGCACTGCACAAAAGCCAGGCTGAAATGAACTCTGGTATTTTACCAGCCAAAATCAGTAGCTTGTCCAGATCTTAAAAGGCTTTAGGAAAAAACATTGTATCAATTTTTTGATTATTTCATTCACTCATTCTGCATAATCTCACAGACCTATATCTTGAGAGGTGTCCTCAGCCTGAACTGGAGGTGGACACATACACTTTGAAGATCTGGAGCAGAGTGTCATCTTGTATGTTTCAGTCTGAGAGTGGCAAAATACTCTGGCTAACTGGCTATTTATTTTGCTCTTCTGAAAGACAGTATTTTGCTGTCTTTTTGCTTCTACAAATCTTTCCCAGCTTAAAATGTAGCTTTATTTTCAGAGGTTTCTGAATTTCTTCATCAGTTCTTTTAAAACTGCATCTCCCTCTAAGCTGAGGATACGTATATATTTAGTTTGTTCAGATGTCCTTCCGTCATCTTTTTATTCAGTCCTTGTTCCTCCAGCTGAGTCTAGTAATTTTCCTGAATTTTCCTGTAAAAGGTTCTCTGATGTCCTCATCTTCATTGCTCATTTTACTGCAAGCTGAGCCAAACTGGTATTTAAAATCTTGGTATTTTGTGTAAGTATGATGTGTAGTGTATTTTGTCTTAGTGGAAATATAGCATCGAAAAACAATTTACATTTTAGCCATGGTCCTGAATATTAATGAGACTTCTTTTACTCACAAACTGGAGCAGTTTGACAGCCTGGTATTATTTTTATCCAGATTTTCCCAGGAAGTTGGCAACAGTATATGCTGGAAAGTAGTTCTTCAGTATCTCATTCACTGAAATTGGTGGTTCATCAACAGTGTCTGTAATTTCTGTTTCGCTTGCACAGCAATAGGATTCAGTAGGAATTGCAAATAAAAAGAATCTCAATATTATGCAGATTTTCAGCACATGGAGTTGAATTAACTCTGCTTGGTTATATAACGTTTTCCTATGATGTAGGAAAATGTAAAGAATTTAGGCCCTACCTAAGACTGATCACATGTTGTATGAAGTTAAAATTTTTCCTCAATGTTCCAATATAGTTAAACAACGAGCCAACATGGTAATGAAACTTCAATCCAAAATAGGTGCTTTTGAATACAGGTTTTAAAAATTGTAAAGTCTCAGTGTAAAGTGCCTGAGATCAGGTTCTGCCACTGGTGAAGTCTATAGGTCTGGTAAAAGGGGCAATATGGGTGGCTTCAAAACATGTGCTTGGCCTTTTAATGTTCTTCTCATGGAGCAGGATTTCCAGAGGCCCAGGGGCTATTTCCACAGCCAAGAATCACCAGAGCATAGATAAGCTTTTCATGCCAGGAGCTGAGACATAGTTAAAGGCCTTTATTATTTTTCTGTACAATCTAGAGATTTCTCTTGGTTGATTCTACTTTCAAAAGACTAATACCACTTACTAGCCCTCTGTACATTACAGAATTGTAAGTATCTTAATTTACAGTGCTGCAACGGGGTCTCTGCTGTACACAATTTAACTGTGCAAAACCCACCTGTATATTTTAGAATATGTTTAGAGTTTATTTTGTAATATAGTCAAGTTACAATATACTTAAATCTGTAGGGTAATGATTTTCTTGAAAGCTTGGTGTTACAAATACATACTATTGGCAATGTGCCTAAATACATTAAGCAGCTAGTTGCAGATTTTAGTTCTGAGAAACTCATGGGTGATTACTTGGTTTGATTTCCTTAATTGTGTGACTGGCTTAAGTATGCCTGCTTTGCTGCATCCTGGCATATTTTTTTAGAGTATTTTCAGAATATCTTTGCAGCTCTTCAAGGTGTGAATTTAAACGTTCTTCAAATTCTCTTGCATGTTTCTCTTCCTCTTGAAGGAACTTTTCTGTTGCAAGGAAAGACATCTCAGGGGGAGACTGAGCAATGAATAGAAAATCATGGTTAGGAAAAAACAGCAAGTGCTACAATGTGTTTGCATTATCAAATTCTAGATGTGAAAAACATCTTGACCTATAGCAGCTAATAACACTATAATGCTTTTCACCTCTTCAAGAAAGCAACATTTTTAAAGGCGTACATTTGAAAAGCATCCATGTGCCTAAATGACATGAACTGAACGTTGTATTTGATTGCCTCTGATATTCACAGCATTAGGATGTAGCTTGGCCATCAAAAATTTAAATATCCCACTAGACAGAATTATTTGTATAATGTAGACCAGCGCAGAGGACAACAATCTTTTTTGGAATTACAGAGTATAATTAGTGTTGGATACTGCTGACTGTCTTCTGAAATTTTAGCTCTGCTTCTGTGGTATGATGCTTTCTGAGGAAAGGAAGAAAACCTGTGCTTATTTCAGTACTATTAACTCCAAGTCCTGACATTCTGGAGAATGTACTAAATTTTTGTTCACTACAAGTAATTCACTGAAAAATCTTCTTTCCATTTAATGAGCATTTAGTAGACTCAGACACAAACCATACCAATAATCAGCCTTTAGATGGTTGTCATGGGATGCAGAGTTGTATAAAGCAAAGGATGTGTGAATCTTTGCTGGAACAAATTCTAAATTTTTAAGCACCAATTTTTGTTAATTTTCTTGCTAATATGTAAGATGCATTCATTGGAATATCTTCATGAAAAGAAACATGGAATAATTTTTCTTTTCCTAAAGATACTATGCCTGTTTAAATACATTCAATGCTCTTTTGTAGAGGCAAATGCAATTGTATGACATGAATTTTTAAGATTTGGCTGAGGAAAAGAACTCAGTATAGGAGCTTTAATATTAAAAGAAAGGTAATCTTCTGTCTTTATATTGTCATATAATGGGAAAAATGATTGACATCTTTAATCTTAAAGATGATATTAAACCATATATTAAATAGTTTTAGTTACTCATTAAATTATTAGTCTAGAATTTCAGAGTTTTTTTCTAGTATTCAAAAATATTTGATGTTTATATGTCAGCACATCAAATAGGAATTCAGATATTCAGATGGTCTGTGGAAAAGGCAAATTCTGTTATATCCATAGATTTTTACTCCAGGCATCACTGTATCAGAATAGGGTATTCCCTATTTCCACAGCAGCTAGAGATAGATTTGGACTTTGTTTTCAACTTTATTGAAAACTGCTCTTTAGCAGCTTTTAAGCTAAAAGAGACTAAATTAGAAAAATATACTAATTAGAAAAATGCTCTAAAGCACCAATCCATTCAAATTCTTTGCAGCAGACTGAGATGAAATTTAGGGATTTCCTATAGGAAACCCCTTTCCTTTTCAAAGTACAGAAGTAAGTGATAGCTGTAAATAAATTCTGAGTTTAATCCCATCTTTCTTGAGTGAGTGAGGCTTCCGAATGTACAGGGCTCCTAAAATGAAATTCACAGAAAAAGCAGAATCTTCCTTTTCTCAAGCCCTCCAAATTAATGTTTTAAAATGATGGGCAAGAAAAAGTGACTTAATTTGACATGCATGAATAAGAAACCTAAAGGTATTGGAACACTTTGTGCCATAACACCCCTCTCTCAATCCTTGAACTATCAAGAATAAGAAAGAATGCCAATCCTCTAAAGTTTAAGAAAATGAAGGGACATCACCTGCCTTTGGTTTTCTTCATAAACATGTGCATGATTTCCCATTTATAAATTATCACTGTTCCCATATGAAAAGTTTTTCCTGACATTTTGAATGCCATGGCTACATGCCATTTATTCCTTCATGGGGTAGATCACAAATACATCTTGTGATGTCAAGATTCAGTGACAGAATTGTTAGTGCTATTTTAAATTATTTGAAGAAGGCTTTTGTGTTATGAAGAATACATTGGATTTGGAGGCTTCACTTAAAGAATCACCATGTGTTTCCCTTACTGAATATCAGCTATGAAATCACTGATTCAATGCTGAGCAAATAAAATACTTGCATGAGAAGCATGAGAAACTGGGCAAATCTGAATCTGAATTACAAACTTAATAGGAGTTATCACCTAGACAAAAATGTCATGTCAGACTTTTCCTTATGGACTGCAGATTTACACAGATGCCAGTCTTAGAAACTTTACATCAAGTTATAAAAGATTGTTAGAGATTCAGGATAATAAAGCTTATAATTACTGACTTGTCATTGGAAACAGATTGGCCTCACAATCAAGCTATCTTCCCAAACTGTTAAATGTCCTTTGTTTCAACTGGTACTTTGATGTGTTTCTCCTTGAAATACACTGTAAACTCCAAATGTGGTATTTCTGAATTGCTTCAGAGTGGAGAGAAGAATGTTTATCACTAAGAATAAGCAGGTCATGGCTCCCCACAGCTCCTTACCTGAGGGTCAGACATCACAGACTATGATTTTAAATGGGTCCCTAATGCATTGTTTTTCACGCACTTTGAGAGAAGGTTTTATCTAAGCAAGTCTAAAAGGCAAAATTCCTTGTTAGCAGCACTTTGCTTTCCAAGCCTCTGGTCTGTTCTTTCATTGTGTTCTTTATTGTATTGTCTTTACTTTTGGCCTCTGAGGAAGAAAAACCACAAAGAAAGCGCTTTAATCCATGTCTCAGATTCATGGTCCCTGGTTTTGAATTTCTTTTTCTAAGATATTACTGCTTTTATGTCTTTTGATTTTCTAACTGAAACTGGATAGGGATGGGTTCATCATAAGCTTTCTATCTAACTTGTTTGGGTAATAAGGCAACATGGACTCTACTCTTTCATTTCTACAGTGCTAGCTGATCTCATAATTCTTTGGTGTATACCAGTAATGAGAATCACCTTTTTGCCTCATCATTTGCTGGAAGTGAAAGAGTGCACCTGACAGAGATACATATTTCTATAGATGAAATATGTGCTAAGTATGTCTTCTCCTGAAATAAGAACTGCCCAAAGTCGTTAAGAATTAATTCTGGGTTGCTTGGGAGGAGCCCTTCAGGAAGCTATAGCTCTCTCAAAGAGAGAGACAAATCTGCCTAATTAATTTGCCTAGAAGTAATCTCTTACTTGCCCCATGAGTTGTCTCAGCATTCTTGGATGCACCTTCAGCAGGGCAGCAAGAAAGATTTAACTTGTGGGATATTTTAACATTTACTGGTCAAATCATGAGCAGCCAAACCCCAGGGCTAGAGTCTTCTCATGCTTAGCTGTTTCTACTTTCCAGGAAATATTTTGTAATACTAGGAGTAGAAATTGGTCTGGCTAATTTTAGTCTCATAGTGACTAAATCTGGGAGGTTTTGGGAGTAGTTTCCTCTAACTCTACACTGCAATACATCTTAGGCAGCAGGTACAGATGCCCATCTTAAACATTCTTCTGCTCATATATGAAGATTAAATTTGAGATGCCTAGAAAATTGCTGAGTGGCATAGAAGATTTTTAGAGGGCATACCTAGCTAGGTAATAGTAATACCTAGGAGTGAGAGGCATGGACTATAGCATGCCTCAGGGTAGGATCAAGACTGCCGAAATAATTCCTAATGATGTCCAGTGGCAGAATTTCCACAGCTTTCCATTGCAATCTATTTATTAAGCAAGTTTCCTTACTAATGTTAGAAAATTCCCTAATGCCTAATTTAAATTTTAATTATTACAGCTGAAGTCTTGTATTTCCAAGTCTTGAAAGCCAGAACAAACAACTGTCTATCATCTGAAGAGAAACATGAGAAAGTATTTACCACTAAAAGATCAGGCAATCGTTTTCTGAAGTTGCTCATTCCAGAAAGAGAGCACAGCATAAAGTACTGTTCAGAGAAGAAGTATTTTCCTAGATTTGAAATCCTTGAAACAAGAATTTTTGGGGTTATGGGAATTTCCAGTGAATCCCAGCTGAGCCTTCTAGTTTATTTAAGGAAAGAATGACTTTCTCTCTATATATAAGCTCTAAGTAAGAATGTGAAAGGGCAGAGGTTCCAGTGGAACATTTACATTTATCTGTCTGAAGATTCTCTGCCAGGAGGAGTGATGTAAGTTACTGTCTAATGCCCTACAGACTATTTTCTCTCTTCCCTCAATACCAAGAGAGTAATTTTGGTAGGTATCAGGACATCACCTGGAAATCTGATGTTTTCTATTTGTGCTACAAATATTCTTCAGAAAACTAGTGCCTTATAATATTTTCTGAAGTTTTGAACATACTGGAGATTTCACATTGGCCCTGTCCCTGTGGTCTATACCCCTGAAGACCTCAGAACTCTGTCAAAGAACTCTGGTATAACCTACTGTGTATTTTTCCCCCTCTTTCTCCTCAATGCAACAGCTTTGCATTTGAATACAGAACTCTGGAGTAACACTGTTGAATGATTTCTGCACTAAAGCTGTGGTATCCAATGTCAGCCCGAGTGACGATTTAATTTCAGTGGTCTGAACTTGTACCTGTTTCAGTGCCACTGATTTGGACCTAGACTCTGTATAAGAAATACCTCTTGCTTAATAGTTTTGTTATGTACTTTGCCCACACACCAGCTGTAAAGTCTTGGCATTGACCCTGACCTGAGTGCCAGCTGGGAAATAGTTTCCCTGCAGCTTGCAGAAGTGTCTTAGAATGGACATTTTCCCCAGGCTTTCTGGAAACAGAAGCTTTGTGATTTGGTGTCTCTGTCTGACATTTCTGACAGAAGAGGGAAGAATTGGTGTTTATCAGACTTGTCTGTAAAAGTCCAAACGACTCTTTTCCTGATTTGTAATTTAAAAGGAAAAGCCTCAAGCCATAAGAAACCAAAAGCCATTTACTTAAAATTCCTGTGAAACAGAAGAATATAAAAGTGGAAGAGAGGTCAAACATCTGGGGCTACATGGTTCTCATTGTTCTCAGGCTACTGGGACAGAGCTGAGGGGACCACAGTCAGTGTAGGGCTGCACTGCATTCCCTGCTTCCCAGACATGCCATCATTATGGTTCTTCCTACCAACAGTGAAATTCTGGACTGTGGAGATAGTTCTGCAGCAGCCACATCTCTGATAGGAAAGAATGTGCATTTGTTTCTCAGGTGGACAGCAGACTGGGGTACAACAACCACAGGTACAATTGCCAGTCAATCCCCCCTAGTAAATGCTGAAGTCTTTCTTCTTCTCTCCTCTATAGGTTCAACCAGAGCCCTGCAGCTGAGAACCCTGTAGCTCATTCCTCACATTCTTAATTCCACTGCTTACTGATGGTATTGTTTCATAGTTTGAGGTCAGGAAAGTGCTAACTGTCAAGTGCAAAATAATAATGGCCTGTAGTGGAGGCCTAAGGAAGAAGAGAAGATACTAAGGAAGAGGATAAAGCTCAAATTCAAAGGGAGCACTAAAGCCAAATAATTATGGAAAGATTTTCTTAAGTTGTCCTAGGCAAAGTGACATTTGTCCCACTTGTGATGGAGGGTGATAGTCTCCAGCCTATGAAGACTAAAAGAAAGAATGCAGTCCTATTACTCTTGCACTTCAAGAAAAATAAGGATCACAGTAATAATTTCTGTTTCTTTTCAAATACAGTAGCTAACATATGGAAAATCGTTGCTGTGATTTTTCTGATTTCATCCATCAATCAAAGAGATGTAGAGCAAATAGGAACTTGATTTGTCTAATGGCACTTAAGGCAGTAAGTTTGTAGGTATTCTGGAAATACATTTGAAGCAGAGTGCTCTTACACAGGCAACACAAAGTAAAGTGCTCCAATATAAAGCCAATAAGCTAAAATGTAGAAATCTTTCTCACAGTCACATAATGGCATGTAATTATCACCATGATTATTAGAACAGAGGTATGGCTCAGTAGGGGATGTTTAATCTCCAGAAAAACAGCATTTCTGTTAAGATAAGGTATTTCCATTTTTGCTAGGCTGGCATTGTATAAATAACAATAATGACAACAAGAGTGATCTAATTCTTGGCTCCTCCAAGGCTGCATTTGGTCCACAGATGGATTTTTGAAAATATATGTGTTATAGGAAAATAGTTACTTACCGATAATTTTATTTCTTCAGCATTGTAAGCAGGTGTCTGAAAGCTGCCTTTTCTGCTCACTTCAGGGAATGGCCCATGACAGCCCAAAGGATACCCCACTGGTGGTAATGGAGATTTATAAACTGTTTTCTTTTCATGACCTCTGTGAAGTGGATGAGAAGATAAAGTGTTACCACTTTTTGAACCAGTGATACTGCCTTGGCCATACAAAGCAGGACTGCAGTTTCTGTGGTATCCACCAGCAGTGAGCATAGTAGTCTGTTGACATTCCACTTTCCATGAATCTTTATTTTGGAAAGATCTAAAAGCAAAAAAAAAGAAGTATGAAACCCTTGCTAAAGCTCTTAAGCTATCAGGGAAAAGCCAAGGGTTTTTTTTTTTTTCATTTATTTGTTTACATAGTTTCGATTACTTAGCTGTTCAAACTGCTTCATGCATGAATTTATGGGCATAAGATTCAGCATTACCAAATTGCAGCAATTTAGCAATTTCCACCCAGGTTACTGTAAAAGTCTGAGTGTGCTTTCTCTTATCTGCTTCAGCTGTGAATTAAACCACCCTAATTTAAACCCTTTCACTGGAGCTTAGATTGGGGAACCTTGCCTTGGTTGCTATAACTGTGGCAGAATGAGCTAAAACACAAACTCACTTTAAGTATTGAAGATGCCAATACTCCTTAAGTGTTTGTTACCTATTCTTTGCTGATGGCTACCATTCCTTTGGCTTTCCAGTGGCAAAAGCAATGCAAGCACATTTTGACTATGCCTAGGAACCAGAGTGAATTTAGCCACACAAATAGAGGAAATGAAATATGAAAGTGTGAGAGGAGAGAAAAAAGCTTTTATTAGTGGTTGGATAATTAGTCAATTTTGATCTAAAATCATCTTAAACAACTATGTTCAAGTGGCTAGAATTCAGAATAAATACTTCAACAAAAAATAGTACAGGAACCCTTACTTCTGTATTTTTACTGCAATGATAGTTTTGCCACTGATTTAATGATAACAGTTTGGAGATTAATATAAAAAATTATTATATTTTTAAAATACACTTTCTAAAAAATTGTACAATACCATGCTTTTGTAACAATAAATGAAATCTCCAAGCTCGAAAAAAAAATTTAAGCATTTTATAATGATGTTTCAAAACTCTTGTATCTCAGGCATCAGAACTGATGTGTGAGTACATATTCCTAATAATTTATATTTGTGTAAAGCAAAAACTATTAGGGTTAATAGCAACATAAAAAAAAAAGAAAGCCATTTTCTTCCCATTCAAAATAGTTAACTGAACAATTCTGATACTGTATTGATAAAAGCAGAAAATTTTGGGACTTGCTTGCCCAGATGTCTGTGAAATTACACTAATTTTCAATTACATCATTCCTTGTGTTATCTACCAAAACATGCAAAAAAAGTATTTCAGATTCTATTAATTTTATCTTAAATTATTTCTAGCTGAGATGAAAATTTCCATTGTATTGAGGTCTGTGCTTATGATGAAATTTTAATCTTGGGAGGTAACTGCTAAAAAATGATAGCAGTTTGAACAAATTCTATCATTGTAAATATCCTAAAACAGTCTACTAATTTGAAATGCAGCTATAAAAGCTTTTAAAGACCATTTTCTCTGATACTAAAATATAATTTAATAAATATTCAAGAGTATGCAGTGCTACTCCATATTTTTTTATCTTTTTAAATAAAAAGAACTTGCTAAGTGGAGGGAAAAGTCACTGTTTTCTGCAGAAAGATCACACCATCATTTTCTAATCTTCATTTAAATATTTGGTCTTGGGAGACAGTGGCTGTGGGGCCTTGATGGACCTGCTTTTACATAAGCCTTTCTGCTGGTTTTCATGGGGATGGAGCTGATTTCCTTCACATTAGTTTGTATGAGGCTGTGTTTTGGATTTGTGCTGGAAATAGTGTTGGTAACACGGGGATGTTTCAGTCACTGCTGAGCAGAGCTCACACAGGGCCAAGGGCTCTTCTGCTCCTCACCCCATCACACTAGAGAGGAGGTTGGGGGTGCATGAGGATTTGGGAGCTGATCCCAGCTGACCATTGGGATATTCCAGACCATATGGGAGCATGCTCAGCAATAAAAAGCTGGGGGAAGGTTGCTTGGGCATGACATGACAGGTGGTGAGCAATTGCACTGTTATCACTGGGCATCACTTGCTCCCTATATTCTAATTAGAGCATTATTATTACTATTGTTATTGTTGTTATTACTACTGGCTTTCTTTTCTGTCCTATTAAATGGTCTCTCAACACGTGAATGTTACTTTTTTAAAACTCCAATTCCTTCCTTGTGAATGGGGGAGTGAGCAAGCAGCTGTGTGCTGTTTACCTGGCAGGTTAAACCACAACAACCCTAAAACATGAAACAGTATTCAGTACATGGGCTGTGCAGAACAACTCAGAGGGCTAATGAAGAACTTCAATTTTTTTTTCTGATTATAAAAGAAGCTGTGATTAAGATACTCTGAATGCTATATCAAAGCAAATTATAAGCATGATGCTGTATTATTATTTGTTACTATAATTTTATTTTTACTACAATAATAATATTATTATACATGCTGACATAAAATTGAGACTGTTCACCAAACCTTCCAGTTTTCTAAATCACCTAAAATGTTTACTTTTATGGAGGCAGAGTTTTCTCCTTTCTTTCATGCTTTTCTTTGGGCACAGGAGAATACCTTTTTTATTTTTATCCCTATTTTGAAGTCCATTCCATCTATGATTTGGATGAAGGGCATCGTGAAAAAAACTCTGCCACAACTGAAGATAGATGGCATGAATAATAAAATCACAGGTTTTTGTTGTTTTTTTTTTTTAAATCTCTTGTTCTGACCTTTTTGGAAGTAATTTTCTCTCTAAACCCACAGTAAAGTCTATGTGATCTGTGTTCTTTTTTCCCCCCCAGAACTGCTCTCTATGCATTTAATAACAATTATCAATGTTGTGTTATAGCTTCCCTCAGAACAGAATTTTCAGATCTGAGTGCTTGACTGGCTACTTGACTTGGGTTATGGTAGCCTTTAGATAATAAAAATACCTTCCCCCTCCCCCCCCCAAAAAAAAAAAAGAAAAAAGAGGAAAAGAAGAAAAAAAAAGTTTTCTCAAAAAGGAACTCCCATTCTCCCATTCCTAGTGTGATGCATAGGATTTCTGGGGCTGCTTGGTATTTTGGAAAAACATGACATGTACATTGAGGTGCTTTGATAGGGATACTGGGCCTTTACTTTGGATGGTTTTCACAGTTGTGGTTTAAACTTCTACCAGTTCATGTGCAAAATAATATCCCAGAACACAGATCTACTTTAAATAAAATCTGCAAATTTGTAAAAAGCTATCCATTTGTTAACACTACCAATGCAAATACACTACTACTGCAGCTGAACAACTTATGCTTTCTGTGTGATTAGTGTCATAGAATATTTAACATGTACACATACCACACAAATAATATCACTGGTGACATAGGTGACAGAGGGGACAAGCAGTGAAAGAATAGTGTCCTCACAAAGGAAATTTATATAGACAGGATCTACTTCTCCTGGCTCAGACATAAAATCTGCCTGGTCCCTGTGCAGTCAATGACTTCAGTGATGCAAAAAACCCCAAATTCCTTACACAGATTTGCTGGTTGACATAACCAGTCCTGAGAAAGAAAACTACAGATCTTTAATGACCAGAATGTCTTCAAGAATTTGTGCTGTTGCTTTTACCTGGAAAGTACAATGGCTAGCTTGATTTTAAAATGGATAAAAAGCCTTTTGATGAAGAATTGTTTTCACTGCTTCCACTTTATCTATTGTAATAACTGATATAGTGGTGAGTGTGACTAAGAGTTGTATGATCTCCAAAGAGTAATGAAAACCTCCTTAACACAGATATTCACTGCAAACACACATCCATTAAGAGATCCCCAGGTACCTTAGCAGGATTTAAATCTTAGCATTTACCCTTCACTTTTCCCACAAAGTGCACTTTGGCTTGATCAGTTACCCATTTTTGTGCATATTTTTGCGGTAAATAAATAGCTTTTCATTTTCAACTCACTGGCATGTTTTAATTTTGGAAGAAACAAACTGAACATATCAGCTTCATGAGAGAAAGTCCTCTACAACCATGCCCAGATTTAAATCAACTGCATATGGTGAAGGTCTAACTAAAGGATTGAAATCTTGAGGGTAGGGAAAGCTTATGTCAAGGGCAATTAGAAGTAAGATAATTACATAAGAAAACAATAATTAATTAAGATGCTTATCGGTAGAACATGGGCATAGTCCTTTTTTAGCAAAAAGATGCAATTTCTGCATTATCTTATGTTCTAATATTCAGAAACTCAGAGTATACTGACAGAAAGAAGAAGTCATGCCACTTTTTGGATTACCAGTATAACTTCTTGCAATTTCCTGTGTTTTCTCTAGAGGTCTCCTCTCTAAGACATGATGGTGCCTGTGCCCAGGATTCCAGTACTGATTGAGAGACACAATTGAAAAATATTGTAGACTATATACCCGTCCCCTGCACAAACACCATGTTTTCTAATTTTTTATCATATAAAAAACGTCTTTTGTGCCCTTTCTCCACTGCCATAATTTCCATGGAAACAGAAGAGCAAATTAAACCAGAAATAACAGGGTTTATGCTCAGAATAAAATAAACACTCCAGATTTTAACTTAACCAACATCAATTTCCTAGTTTATCTGCATACATCTAACAGTTGAAAATTTAATTTTAGTTTTCTGGAAAAGTCCTGAGGTAGTTTTCTGTTTGGGAACAGTGAACTGTTAGTCCAGAAAGGGCCCAGTCATAAAAACACTGGCTAGGTGGTGTGCATACACAGTATATATCAAATCAGCACGTTTTAAAATCTGTGTATTTTTTTATCTGAATAGCTTTTAATTTAGGGATTCTAATGCATGATTTACATCCTGAAATCCAGGCTCAATATATCTGTTTCATCATATTAACTACAATAATAATAATAATGATAGCAATAATAATTTATATTGTGTTCAATAGTCTGGCTGAGATTTCTGTGAGAAAGGTCAAGTCTCACAGGTGTCTCACAGTTTTGATTGATCTTCCAACAGCTATGAAATCACAATCCAGCAAATTGCATGCATAGTTCTATTGTCTCAAATATTTATGTTAAATTAAATTTCACAGTCTCTTATGTACAGTCTCAGAAAATGGGAAAAAACCTTAATTTTTCCTCACTTGTAAGGAGTTGAAGCATGAGCAAAAATTGCACTGACCAATTTTGTGCAGAAAGATTATTCTACTGTGCAGAATAATCTGTATCTCAGTTTACAAGTATTTCTTTCAGCAACATCTTCGATGTAATTGAAACTTCACAGGAAATCAGTCATACCTGCCACTTCCAAAGATAGGAGTATGCATGTGTGTATATATGCATGCATAATGTATACACATATATATACACACATACATATAATATATAATGTAATAATATGGACATATATATAATAAATCCATTAATTTTTATATACACATGAATACTATCTCCAACATAAAACAACACTCTTTAAAAAGAAAATTTAGGCAAAAACATATACTAAGATGCCTCTATTTTGCAGAAAGAAAATAATTTTACATTTTGCCAAAACCTAAATGTATGAGTTTGAAATCTTAACATGTCCAATTTTGACTCCAGCTATTTCAACTTTACTTCACAGAACTGTTTCATGTTAGTGCTATCATGTCAGTGCTTTATTACAAATAATCAATGCATTTAGCTTGCTATTAATTTTTATCTTCCTGTACTGTGAAATAATGTTTAGCAAAGCGTTTATGGTTTTTTGTATTGCTTTGTTTTTTTAAATTGCAATGCCATGATTATAATGTATTTGAAGGCAATTCAATGGCTCACTGAGTACAGGGAAATAAGAAGAAAGTTATCACTACAATGCTTTCTGTGAGTCTGACTATTCTCAAGTCTCATTATTTTTCCGTAACAAGGAGTTTATTGTAGGAATGACTTACTCAGGGCATCTGAAATTCTGTTTCTTTTAAAAACCAGGTCATCCAAGAACACTGAAACCAGCCAAGGCATTAAAATATATTTAATGAAACTTCCAACAAATTAAACTGGAGGACACAAAGCTTTTCAGCAGGGCCCATACTTCAAATTGCTTATTAAGAGAACCTCCCATCGAGAAGTTTACCTCTCATGTTGATTTTCCTATCCTTTCCTTGTCTTGTTTTTATTTGGTAGTAAAAATACAGTCTGCTCTATTTTTCAAAACCTGGAACTAAGAGTAGCTTGAGCAGGACATAAAAGGTTTTTAAAATTTAATGTGCTAAATACTAGAATAGATATTAAACATTTCAGGGACTTCATTTATTGCTAATTTCCATTAGCCATCCAGAAAAATGTACGAAGTCCTTAAAAATATACTAATTAGGCCTGATATTTATATTGGTGGGAGTTCTGAATGAACAGAATCAGCAAAAAACTTAGCAGTTTGGCCCAGTCAGACCTTCCAAAACACTTAGAAGAAGTTTCATAAATGTGTACAATTTAAACATTACCTCTCTTCCTTTTCTCGCATCTTTGAATGGGTTTGGTAGCTGTGCTCCATTTCTCTGTATGTATCCATGCAACCCAGTATTGATGTTTCTGTGTCATTTTGTAGTTTAACGAGGCTATTTTGTAGTCTTAAATTCTCATGTTTCATTTTGTGAACAGAAGCTGCGAAATTTCCATGTTCTTTGTTACATAAATCTATGCACTGTGAAAGGAGATAATACCATCATTAAGTAGTTATTTTTTCCACAGTAAATGGGTATATTTTTAACAAGCAAACACAAAACAATGTTCTATGCTAAAGAAAAGACCTAGCTACCATATATAATCATGCAACATTTAGGGCAAACCAAGAGAATTGCCTCCAGAAAAAAAAATCACAGTAGATAAATGGAAAAGAAGGGATAACAGCCTCTATAACACAATAGAACAAATTAAAATTTCTCAGCAAACATGCATTCAAAATATTATTGTTGTAAATTTATTGCTTGCTTTGTAAAACTGATGACATAAAAGCAACCATAACAGCTATAGCTGCAGACTGTATTGCTCCCTCCAGTAACAATTCCTCCAAAAATAACAAGCAAAATAATAGGAGTTGATTACTATACTAGATACAGAGTATGTGTACAGGCACAGTTTAATATGTGTGTTGAGACAGTCACCTTCAGTTTCAGAAACAGAGAGTAAAGCCACATCAGCACAGTGCTCTCTGTTCCTGTCACTAAACCCTGCTTCTCAGCTGGGTTAGTCCACATGGTATGGAAAGCAAAATACTGAAAGTGCAAGCCACACATGCACTGTGATCAGGGGCTAAAGAGCCCCATCCACTAGGATATCAAGAAGCGAAGATGGAGATTAGCTCTGGAAGTTGTCTAGCCAGGATACTCTGTTCCTTTTTTTCTCCTATCACTTAATCCACAAAGCCTATGCTGCACACCTGAGACAGCTATTTTGGAACTGTCTCTGCAGAGTAGTGCACTGCATTTGTGTAATATATTTGCAATAATATACTGTCATCAAAAGGAAATTCTCTAAAGGTTTATCAGATTACACACGAAAGACTAAAACCCCTTGTGTTTCATTAAATTGTGCTTTCATATATTCCTAGATTTACCTTACTCTCTTGGAACTCAGTAACTCATTACAGATTTGGTTCTTAGTACACTGCTGGCACAACTGTGCTCCTGCATTTGAAAGCCTGTCTATTACTTGCACTGATTTGATGCCATCTCTTCCTGTGAACCTTGCCTTGCTTAGTTTTAGAGGGAATTTATGAACCCAGCTGGCATGGAAATGCCAGAAGGTATAATAAAATTTAGTATTTTGTGCAACTATTGGGGAGCAGGGGCTCAGCTACGTCTCCCAAGTGGGAGGAGTGGCAGAACGAGGGATAAGGAGAGCGCTAAGTCATCCTACCACTAATAGCTCTAGAATCAGCAGTAAAGTTATAATGGGCATGAACCCCAAAACTGAGCTGGCCCAGCTACATTGCTTTTGGCATCTAAACCCTGAAAGTAACCCTGCCTGGTGGTGCATTGTACCATACTGACTTAGTCTGGCACTGGTCTCAGAGGTCTGTGTTGTGCTCCACTGTACAGCACAAAAACGACCATAAAAATCTCTCCAATCCCTGGAATCTTAATATCAAATATATCACAATCTCTAATGTGTAGATCCTCACAATATATTAGTAAAGCAGGAAAGAATTTTTAAGTCCACAAATCTACTGAAATACGTATTGACCTTGGAATATCTAGTAACTGGATTTTACTGTTAAAATATAACAAACATGTGATGTCTCTAAGGACCCTTGTCAGACAGCTCTTCTCAATCTTCAAGAAAAGTGTCACTGCAGAGAAGAGTTAGACATGCATACACACATCCATCTATGCTCCCACAATAATGGATCATATATACACATACAGATATCCATAATAGTTTGTATGGATGTGTAGGTAAGACATCACTGATGGACATCTATGCTGCTTTAAGGGTGTGGATAAACGTAACGTTCCTTCATGACAATTAAGAGGCTACAAATCTCCCCAAAATGTATTTACATTAGTATTTCCAAACAACATTCCAGTGGGGTTTTTTTAGTGATAGATACAGTAAATTACAGCATATGTTCTGTAAGCAGGGGATGTTTTGAAGCTTTTTGTGGAAAACAGCATATATACTATTTATTATACCTTCATAAACCACAGTTCTAGATAATCTTATGGCACACTTTTTATCAAGTAAATTTTAAAGCTCCACTGTTTAGGGAGATATAAGTACTAAACTCTGAAAATAAGATGGGTGGGAGCAAAATGTTTCATTTTTTTACACTGCTATTTAAATATGTGAACAAAAGGGTAAGATATTAAAAAGGAACATATTTTTGTCTGTGAGAATGATGACTGTTTAAAATTAAATAAGTGATATCACTTAAAAAAAAATAAGCTCCAGAAATTGTTTCGTGTCTAGACAGTTACTAAAAAATTTATCTTACTTGCAGTTTAAAACAATTAAGGTAAAAATTACTCTTAGCTAATACTCATCTTCAGGCTGTTTGTGAATACCACTTGGTTTTGATTATGTTGCACACCTCATTTTTATTTATTTAATCTACGCAAGCTAGAAATCTCTAAATCTGCCATGATCTTAACCTACATTTACAATAAATATAAATAAATATAAATATATATATAATATATATATAATATATATAAAAATATATCTATTCTGCATAATTCATAGATTAAAAAAAATTACCATGCAATTTTCACACTCCTGGTTTTCCACCATTTCTTTTAGGTGTGTGTTTTCAGATTTGATAACTTGGTAATGGAATTCCAGGAGCTAGGAAAAGTTTAAGTTCTTAGTTAAAAACAAGAATATTACTCTCAACTGGAGTAACACAGTATAGATATATTTAAGCTTAATTTTACAAATGTATGTTAAGAATTACAAAATTTACTATAATATTTTTAAATATAGCAATACCAAAGTAGGAAGAAGTATTAAACCATCTATAAAAGATATACAAATGCAACACCACTGAATTTATTTACCTTTTTGAAAGAAGTAATGACTTAGGAAAACAAGAAATTCATATGCAGTTACTACATAGAAAGATGGATAGATTTTACAGGCCACTGAAACTTCATGAAATCCTATTCATGACGTCTAGGAATTATATCTACTCTTTTAGCGATATGGAAATATCTGGTAAAGTGCACTACACAGGAGTGTACATTTTCCCCAGACACTAACTTTGCTATTGTCAAAAGTGAAGTATTACTTCAATCATAGTTTTCCACGTGTAGTGACCCCCTCAGAAAACGCAGATACCCAGAAACCTCTAAATATGATGGTTCTTTTGTTTTACAAACTAAGTAATGAAGATGAAAAATTTGTTTTTAAAAAAAAAATTGCCATAAAAATCCCCACTGGTATCTTACGGTTTCCAGCTATAAAATTACTAGAATTTTATATGCAGATTTGTAACAATTCTTCAAAAAGCTTTAGAAAAGACTGAAAAATAAGAAACTTAAAGCATATATAATAACCACAAATAGAAGTTTTCAAGATCTTTTGCATGTTAAAATGATAACTAGATGTGATGGTCAGAATTAATTTCAATTTAGATGTACAGTTCACATTTACTGGTGATTTCTTGTTCCAGTATCAATTTGGCTGTTTTTGTAATACTTCACAGCTATTACAGCACCACTGATAAAAATTACAGCAAGAAATGTGATGTCTTTTTTTCCACAGATAATGAATGTCATTATCAATAGTGTGGAGTAAGATGATGTGGGCTGCTTTTGCCTACTTGCATACCTGTTGTTTTGTTAACAGTTTGTGTTTTGTCTCTAACTCCATTTTTAACTGTCTTTCCAGAAGACTAGCTTTCTTCATGATAGTTGCTATAGTGATCTCCTTCTGATGAAGCTCCTCTGTCAGGTCAGAGATTTCTGTCTTCATTCTTTCCTGCTCAGAGCAATGGGGCTGCTCCTCTCGATAAACATGGTTTCTTATCTGTAGCAAATACATTTCAAAAAGAAAAAATGCTGTGCAGTAAATATGATTGCATCACTTGCTACTTATCAGTGACTTTTTCTGCTGTTGCTTCCAATACACCAACTCTTCTAACTGAATCAGAGATTCTGAGATTGTAAAATAAAATGTCTTTGGAAGCCAGTGCACAGAGCTTTGTTTATTTTTACATCTTTTTTTCAACACTTCTCTTGTACTTTCATTTGCCTATTTAATATTAGAAATGAACAAAGTACAATACACTTCAATATACCTTTTAAAAGAAAGTAATAAAAATCACGTATAGAATTGGAATACATGATAAAGAATACCCAAGGAAATATCCATTCAATAAATTTAAGTATGATTTATTTATACTGCATTTAAGTTAAGTTAGGTTTAAAAAATGTTTGATGAAGTTTAAATTAACTTAGGAGCAATATAAATAAATCAATCTAGAGACTCTTTAATAAGAAACGATGTTAGAAATGAAGGGTATATATGGCAAATCACTTTATGAGAATTGTTCCTGCCATTACATGTAAAATTTTAAGGTCGAACTTTCTTCAATACCTCCTGTGCAGAGTTCTCCAAACTAGCAAAACAAATACTGTTTTCCTCATCTTTCTAGTATAACCAACAATTTAGTACTGACAGATTTTTTGTTGTGTAAGAAACAAAAGAACAAAAACCAGCAACAAGCTTTGAAACCATTTAAAAAACTTTTTGCGGTACTATATACGAGTAACAGATGGCATTTTGTTTTCAGTTACGCAAACAGCACAGAAATATTAGAATTGTAAAAAAATAGATGTAGATTAAAAAAACCTAAAAGGTAGATCATGACTATCATGCCAAAATTGATGAACCCAAGTCAGATGCATCCAAATAGAGACATTCAAAATCCACTTGGCAAGCATTCCTGTAACCTGTTCTAGGTGACAGGGAGTTTGGACCCTTCCAACCCTAACAGTTCTGTGATCTCTGCTTACATTGCTACTTGGCAAAACCACAATTTGCTTGTAAGACGAGTTCTGAGCATCCTCTATTTCCAAAGTATTTCAGCCTGCCAAGCTGAAATTGCCATTCCACAGTGCCATGCCACTGCTGCTTGCTCACAGCACTTTTGAATTGTGCAACGCAAGGTGATGCACAGTTCCAACGAGAGAGCTCTGCCCTAGACTGTGCAGCAGGTACATTAAGCTGAGCCTTGTGTGAGTAACTGCCACAGTGGCTTGTATCAGTTGATCTGTTTGCATATCCTACCTCTGAGACCACCTACAAATTACAGCTTAGCTCCACAGCCTAATAATTACTCAGAGCTTTGTAGACTTTCTTAGTTGCATGGTGTTATCTGAATCACAGTAATGTGTAGGCATGGTCTCTTCCATTACTTCACTGAACTAGGCAGGCACAGAATCACAATGTCAATTTTACAGCTACACAACTAAATGCAACCATATACGAAATCTTTTTCATATAAAAAACTTCATGCTCTCCTGAACCAACAATGCATCCTTCTGCCCTCTACAGTATATGCACATACCCTAGGTCAGTACTCTCTCCTAAAAATCCTATACTGCAGTTAAGCTCTGGAAATGATATGAAATACCTTGTTCAGCTCTTCTTGGTGTTCTCGACTTTCTGCAACTAGCAATAACTCAGTGTTTTTATCTTCTAGTTGCTCAGTAAGCTGCACACAAGATGATTGATGCCTTTAAGTAAGAAATAAACAAAACATGAAACAACCAGAACATTCAATACTCTTTACCTTGCAGTATCCTTTACAGTGCAAAACTGTACAACACCTGCTTGCTGATGAAAAAATATTCCCAAACATAATCAACATTTGGCCTAAACCAGGCTGAATTTTAGGAGATGTCTAGGAATTGAGGACAATAAAACTGTGTGCAGAAAGAATCCTGAAAGCTCTCATACACTGGTATTTTGTATAATTTGAAATGGCTACAGCAGATTAGATAAGCCATAAAACCATCACGATTCTATTCAAAGGAGGTTAGGGAGAATCTTAATTGCATTGTTTCCAAAGTGTTTTAATGCTGAGAAAATGAAAGACTGTCAAGATATAGGTAGAAATATCTGAAATGCGTTGATTTATAAAAATCTAGGCATCATTAAAGCCTTTTAACAGAGCCTGCATCTATTGCCTGAAATTGTCTGATATAATTGTCAATGAAAATATCCAGTCTAAAATGCAGAAGCTGACATTTGAATCCAGAGTATCTTTTCAAATAGACTTAATGTAAAACTAAGAAAAAAGGTATTGGCTCAGAAGAACTTGTTAATTTAATTTTCACCATCCATACTTTATTTGAATTTCCTGCATATCTTCATACTCTTTGATTTTCAGTAATTCTGTATACAACTTCTGGCATTCCAGTTGTATCCTTCTCCAGAGACCATCCCTTGACTGCAGCTCATTTCTCATTTCTGAGACGTCTGCCTCCATGTTCTAAAGAAACAAGCAAATGCACAAACAAATAAAACTAGACAGCTTAAAATGCGAGTTTCTAGCACATCATATTCAATACCTGTACATACATGATTTTAATTTTTGAAAAACATTGCTTCCATGTCAGTTCCTCTCGTCTAAAAAACAGACTCTGAATATTCTTTAGCCTTTGCAATGTTCCAATGCATCTGCCTCTGAAAGCATCATAGGAAACATAGCTCAGAAGTTCTTTATTGTACTAAATGCATCTAAAATATATAGCTTGCTTGTTTTAGCAGGTTCTGCATCCTGGAACATGTTTCACATGCCAGAATTGGTGCCATAAGTGGCTTCCATTTTCTATTTTCCTAACAGCATTTTCAAATTTATAAACTTGAGAAACTACAAGGCTGCATAGGTTTTCTTCAAAACTAGTTTCATCTGCATGGAGTTAACTGCTTATTTAAATGAACATCACAACATTTTCAAACAATCAAAGAAAGATTTTTCTTAGGGACTTGACAAACCTTATTCTGTTTTATCTTTAATTTCTGATTTATAGTGTTAGACAACCTGAAGACATATTACATTGGCATGATAAAACATAAATTCCAAAAAAACCCAGAATTCCACAAAAATATACTGGAAACATACTAAGTACAAGAAGTTGGAAATATAACTCACAAATAACAGAAGTAACAATAATAATCAGTGCTTGTAATAAATAGTAATATCCAGACAATATGTATTGCTTCTCACCTAAGATCCAAAAGCATGTTTCAGATAAAAAAAAAAATAAATTCCAAGGATATTGATAATTTACCTTTCAAACTATTACACTAAAAAGTTCACATTTTTCATAATTTCTTCATTTTCTTTGAATATACCTTCCATCTTTAAGAGCAAAAATAAAGCCTTTAACATTTCAAAAGAGAACTGGATTCCAGAAACTGCACTGCAAGGAAGAACTTCAAAGGTTTATTTCCCTTAGAGCCTCCTATGAGAATGACCCTCCTTCCAAGAAGCCTGTGGTCTTCCTCTACCTGAAAGGGTTGCTGAAAACACATACGAAGTGCTTTTGCATTTTTTGGGATTTTTTTGGGAGGGCTGCATATATGGACTCATTCATCTTATCCTTTGTTACACTATGGCCAAGAGAGCTTTTTTAAACACTAAAATGCAACGCTGGGTATATTCAAGTGAAATAAAGCTGAATGAACTATTAAAGTTGTTGGTAAGACTTGCTTATTCTCATCTTCATGACTCCAACCTTCAAGAAATATTCACAATTGTTTTATAACATATGAATTTGGGAGATGGTTGCCCCTCTGATTTAATTTTGGGGTGGATAAGGGAAATGAATTCTGCACAGTTGTGTGGCAGAAGTTGTATTTTCTGTGATAGACTGCAGTTACCACACATATTTACATAAATTGTATTTTCTTGTGAATTAAAATAGTAGCAGGAACAACAGCAGCGACAGCAGCAGCTGCAATAATAATTGAAACAGAACTTCAGGTCAAGAGCTTCACAGTTTCACTTATCAGTTTAAAAAATTAGATATGCATCACTAGAAAACATCTATTGCATCGGTTAAAATGAAAATTAATTTTTAAGCAGAAAACGTCAGGATTTATTTAGAAAATATCTCATATAAATAATCTGTTTCAAGTTGAAAAAATCATTAAATAATTTCTTTGCTTCTGTGAAAAATTTTGCTTCTACTAGCTTGCCAATCAAAACAAAGTCCCCAATATTTCCTGATCAGCTCTTGTTTTAATTCTGCTCAAAGCTGTTTGTGGTGGGTTGACCCTGACTGGATGCCAGGTACCCACCACAGCCACACTGTCACTACATTTCCCAGCTGAACAGGGCAGAGAAACTAGAGAAATGCTCTTTGCTTCTGGAGATAAGGACAGGGAGAGCACACTCACCTGTTACTGCCAATGTGAGTGACTTGAACAGAACAGACTCAACTTAGAGAAATTAATTTATTGCTAATCAAATTAGAGCAGGTTAATGAAAAATAAAAACTAAATCTTCGAACACCTTCTCCTCATGCCTCCTTCCTTCCCAGGTTCAACTCCCTTCATGGAGTGCTTCAGTCCTTCAGGAACGGGCTGTTCCACGGTGGGTCCCCAGTAGGGTCACAAGTTCTGCCAGCAAACCTGCTCCAGTGTGAGCTCCTCTCTCCACAGAGCTACAGGTCTTGTCGTGAGCTTGCTCCAGCACAGCCTCTTTCCTTCCCCCTGCTCTGCCTGGGATCCTGCAGGAGCTGCAGGTGGATCTCTGCTCCACTGTGCTCCTCCATGGGCTGCACCAGGGGCTGCAGGGGAATCTCAGCCCTGGTGCCTGGAGCACCTCCTGCACCTCCTTCTGCACTGACCCTGGGGTCTGCAGGGCTGTTCCTGTCCCATATTCTCACTCTTTTCTCCCTGCTGCACAGGGTACTTTTTCCCCCCTCCTCTTAAATACCCCAGGGTGCCACCATCACTCCTGTTGGGCTCAGCCTTGCCTAGGAGTGGGCCCATCATGGAGCCAGCTGGCATTGCCTCTGTCAGACATGGGGGAAGCTTCCAGCAGCTTCTCACAGAGGCCATCCCTGGAGTGCCCCCATTACCAAAACCTTCCCAACACAAACTTAATATACTGTTCAACCTTTTAAATACAATTATATGGTGTATTTTTACATAAATTAATGTCTAGCAGCCGATCAAATGCTGACTTTTCAACAGCCAACCAAGCCCCTTGTGTGATGTTTTCATGTCACCTCTCATGTTATGGCTGCAGATAAGTTTGCCAATAATTCACAGGGTAGAGAAACAGACTGCAGTCTACATTTAGATCTTTCAAACTTTGTATATTCTGTAAAGTCAACAAACTGCTCTTCCATACATTTCACTTTATTATTTGCTAATTAATAGTATAAGTGAAATAATTAGAAGCACACATGAAATTATAACAGGCATAAAGGAATACATGAGGCACAACAATTCTTGCTTTCATTGTCATCAGGGTTCTCCACACCAAGATTCCCATCTACTCCTTCCTCCTTTAGCCATATCATGTCCAACTATTGCCATCCTCCACCTAATTCTTGTTCACGTAAACCTGCTTACTTTTTCTGGCTGACAAAAGGCCTTGTACTTTCTTCTTTCTTATACAAACATTCCTTAAAAAATATTTTCCTTGAGCTACCCCTTTTCACCATACATTGACAACAGTGTTTCCCTTATGCAGCTATTTCCAAATGCAGCTTTTCTAACTAACATAGCAGCATTCCACACCACCAACACAGTTATTCTGCAACTTTCTGCCCTTTAGATGACACTGTTATGTACATCTAGCTCCACTTCTACTTAAAGTATCTTCAAGCTTCCTATATTCTCTTGAATATATGATTGCAAAATTCTTCCTGCTTGAAGATTTTCTTCAAGGCTACAGCACAATCTCTCTGTCATACAGCTTGTAATCGTGCCCCTGAGTGCCATGATTTGTTCCACTGCATATTCTAGTCCCACTGCTTTTGATGGCAGCCTTTCTAACAGGTCGTTTAACAAAACAGAAGCTTTGCTTGCACACTGATAACTTATATACAGGCAAAAGACTCAGTGAACTAATGTGCAAATGGCACATATAAACTTGGCTCTTCTGACAACACCTGACAACACAATCTGAAATTAACCTCTGCCACATATATGCTAATTCCTATAAGGTATATTGCATATACTGTTAGCACTCTGCAAGACTGTCTATAAACAGAAACAAATCTTTCTCCAAAAAGACTTGAAGTTACGATAGGCCATTCAATATATTACTGAACTTATAAGTGCTTAAATAAATAAGGAAAAGCTTGACTGGTATATATGGCCAGAAAAAAAATATCAACGAAAATCTCATTCCTGATATGTTTCAAACACAGATAATAGAAAAGGTTGTAAAGATCTGGTATTATCTCAGTCTTGTCAGAACTCATATACCATGACCAAAAGAAGAGGAGCAAATGGCTGTCTTCATAGATCTGTGCTATGCTGAAAAACAGTAAACTAGGGATAAGATAAAACCTGATGGTTCTTTACATGGCCAGACACTAAAAATGTTTAAAAATTGACTGCATAATCTCCTTTCAAAACTAAAAAAGTATACCATACATGTTTGTCTATACTTATTTGCTAGCTATATGGCACAATGAACAATAAGGTGTAAATCACATAAAGAGTTTTCACAGAAGTAATTTATATAGAAGGAACCAAACTAGGGGAAGTTCATGTAGATGCTATAGATATAGGAGAGTTATAAAACCCTAGATACACTGACAAGACAAAAAATATACTGCTACAAATCAAACTTATTTCTGTTTTACTAAAAAAACCCAACCCATACTGTTCCCAGATTATTCTGTGTTCATGCACAGAATACACCTACTGTACGTTTATGTATGAAAATCTCATCTTGATTTTCCAACATCAATTCCACAGTCATCATAATAAACTATTACTACCTGACACTGGTTTTGGTACATTTTTAGATCCTCGTGGAGTTTCATATTTTCCTCTACCAGCTTATTCTTGTTTCTTGCTATTTCATTCACAATTGCCTTTAGCTTTTCAATAATCAAATCATCGTGTTCACTTTTGGGCTGGATATAGGTAATTATCTCTTCTTGGTTTTGTTTCTTTTTGCATATTTGGAGTTGATAATTCTGGGTCTGCTTCTGTAAACAAGAAAATATCTTAAATTAAACTCAATAATTGTATGTAAATTGCAAGGACCAAAACATTACTGCTGAAGTCATAAGACTATTCCCATCTTCACCTGTATTTGCTTAGAAAAGATGGCACAATTCAAACAGTTTGACTTACTTGCCCTCAGTAAAAAAAATGTTTCGAGAACCTTCAAGGGCACAGGAGTTTTTCAAGGATTTTTTTTTCTCCTGTGCTGTGTATTTTCCTAGTACTTAATGTTAATGAGCCTCAAATGTGAAAAAGGTGATTATGATGACCTACTCAAAGCAGTTACCTGTGAGAAATAATTTTAGAGAAATGTTCCTCTTTGATTCACTGAACTCAGTGGGAGCTGTGTGTGTGTGTGTGCCTCAGGATAGATATTAACCTTTGACTAGAGGGCGACCATTACACAGGTCATGTACAAACAGCTCAGTTACTACAGGAACTGTACTTCTTTGACATCATTATCCTTAAACTTGGGGAAGAATCATTCGTACATTTGGCAGAGTCCTACACCCCATGCAGCTTCTTGTACCAATTAAAATCCTAAACACAAAACTTCAGAAAATTGGTATTGCAAGTATTTCTGAATCTACAGGCATTGTGAAGAAGCATAATTGCCATGGCAACTGTTTTTGCTGTTTAAAAAATTATCCATATGGATCCCACTACTGGGAGATTAACAAGCAGCGCTAATCTTACAGAAGACTGAGAATTACATGAAAAATGACAACAAAATATGACCTGCAAATCATATATCATGTGCAGAGATCAATTTGGGCAAGAAAATATAAAGTAAAAATAAATAGGGTTACAAATACCATATTTCACTGACAAGGACTGCAAAAAGTCGTACTTTAGACAGTTTTTATGTTATTGGCTATGTCCCCGTAATTTGTGTTGGCTGAGGACCTAAGGAGAATGGACCACTGGCTGCATATCAAATAAAAAGCAAAAAAAAATTTGCAGGTAAAGTTTCATTTCTATAGGTAAAAAATTAAAGTCCCTTTGACATCCAAGTTATGGACTCTGATATACCAAAGTGTCAATGCATCCTGTGAAAAATAAAGTGCAAGACTCCAACTGTAAATCAAAGATCATGAAAGATGAATTTGAGGCAAAGATGCAGGAACAATTAACACTTTTGAAATGGCTAAGGGTAACAGTCCATCACACTTGTATTTCAAAAAATAGTTGGTGTTATGTTAAAGTTGTGAAGGAAATTGTCTTCAAAGCAAGTTCACTGACGGCACTGAAAGCTTCAACAGAAAAATGTGAATGATCACCCTGAGTACTCTATTTTGACTTGTCTAACTGCACAATCAACATGTCATCATTCAACAGTTTTGTCAAGTCACAGATTTGCTTTTTGAACACATTTGTATGGAAGTTCAATTGCTGGAATATAATGCTCTCAGCAGCTAAACTCAAAACATAACTGTCATCCTTGGAAACTCTGGATATGTGTAAAGAGTCTCATAGGAATTGTTAAGAAATGTTTCACCACCTTAAGATCCAATGAGCTTAGAAACAGTGCAAAAGGGAATGACCAGTGAACAACATAATTGGCTTCTCCTTACTTAATTTTCAAGCTGTCTTGTGGCCCAGTCAATTTTTAAGTTCTTTTCTGTTTTTTTTTAAGAGATGGATATGTTATCATGACAAGATTAAATAACATATTTTTTCTGGATCAGAAGGAATTTAAAAAATATTAAAAAAAAAAGCAATAAACAAATTGGCAAGTAAAAAATAATCATTAAGTCAACCAAGGAACTGCGGGATAACTTGAAGGCTGAAAAATATGAAAAAAAAAAAAAGGGCTAAGTGATCCAACAAACAACTCCAAGAGTGATTCTGGAGTAGCATATGAAAATCCAATTTTTTGCATAAATGATACTGGTGCATAGTTATGATCTTCCAAAAAATGAAGGCTATCAGATTTGAAGGAACTTTATACTTGCGTCAACACCTTAATGGCATGCACTGTTTACTTGGTTGGACACTTTTTAATTACTTGTCACAATTAATTGCATATTACTAAATAGCATGGAAAAGTATATCTATAATATGCTTAAAAAGTAAAAAGGAGCATTGACTAGTTTTTGTAATTGTTTGGTTTCTTTTTTTTAAAGAAATGTTACCATTTTCATCATGATCCTTATTAATTTTCTCATTCCCATGAGAAAAATTAAATTAAAATAACTGCATGTTTCATTAGATCTTCCAGTATGCTTCTGCCTTACCATATATTCATTACCAATACAGACATGCATTGTAAGATTCACTGTAAGCTCAGTTTTTAAAAACTAAGCTAAAGTAAACTCTAGCTGAGTAAAGAGTTCATTTTCATCCTAGAGTAAGAAGGTAGGAATTTTACCTGAAACAAATTACATTTCTCGGGCAATAATTTTGCTTGCATATCTGCATAAACTGGGTTATTTACACAGGTTGTCCCATTCTTCTCCCATTCTTGTGATTTTGGCTTAAAGTCCTGACGGACACAAAAACAAGGTTCGTAAACATAGAGAAAAAACCTATTTTCCTCAATTTAAATAATTTTGTAATTTGTATCATTCTAATAAATACCTAGTTCTTAAATTAATACATAATCTTTCCATAATTTTGGAAAAAAATTTTAAAAAATAACAATTCTATAAACCAGCCATCCAGTCATCCCCACCAGAGAAAGACCCATCTTAAGGGCTATTGATCTGAGAATGAGTGTAAACATAATAATTGAATAAAAACTGTAAAATAAGATATTAGAGTTTCAGTATGATCCACACATTTTATTGGAAAGTAGTTCCTGTGACTTTCAAGCTATATCAGTGTTGAGCAGGGTAATCAACAGGGAATCAAACCCTTAATATTCAGAAACAAAGTGCTCACTTTTTTTCTTTTTTTTTAAAATGGGACAGCATCTACATTGAATAAATTTTACTTATTCTCTTTAAAATTGCTGCTTCAGGTTCTGAGTTCACCTATTTAAACAAAAAGCTGTTTAAGAATTTCTATTATATTAGGTTTATCTAATATTGTTTTTGTATTTGCACTTACATTCATATTTATAGTGTATTTGAATTTGCTTTAAACTCATGCCAAACCTTCTATGTTTACAAATACATTTTAAAGGCAGTATCCTAAAAATAAGCAGAACTTCAGCTACTAGAGCTGTTGCTCTTTTTGTGTGAATATTTAGCAAAATAACAGTACACTGATTTATATATTGAAAACTAATGGAAATGTTGTTCCAAAAAGACAGACGATATTTTATAATTAGGCTAAACTGGCATATTCCTCAAATTTAAAACAATATGGGGGTTTTTTTTGCTACTGAAAAAACCCTGACTATTTCTCGACATAGATTAATACAAATCTTCTTTCATAGATTTCCTAATATCTGTTTTGGCATTTAAAACAACAAAAATTTTCCTATTTTATAGAACATGATACAAATGGAGTTCAGACTATTTAATGAGGACTGCAGGTTCAAGGCCATACTAAAGCACGCTGAGCTTAGTAGATTTTCACCACAGTAATTATTTCCTGAACACTCAAATTTGCTGAATATATTCCAAGCACTCATTTTTCATACTGCATAATTAATCAAATTATAGCATTGTCTTACATTATTTTCACATTTTAATCTTGAGTAAGGTTATTCTCAAATTAGCTGACAGTAGTGATATATCACTGATAGATGTACAACCCATTTATTATTCTTGTAGTAGCTGATGTTGGCAGCTATGCTGTAGTCCAAAGCATTCTAGCTTTCCTGATGGTGAGAACTTCCATGTGGAAGAGAGCCAACATCATGTAGAGTTGGGATGTCTCTATGTAGATACAGGAACCTGGAGGTTGCAGAAGTTAGTCCTATATCTTATAGAATAACATAAAAGGCAAGTCCAAAATACAGATCCTAGGACCCTGCTTAATTTGAGTTAAAAGTAGGAAATTACTTAAAATCTACTAGAGCTGAATTTCTTGATTGCAAAATCCTCAGTGTCCAAATCATCTACATCATAAATCTACATCATAAATGTGTAAGTCCTCCCAATGCTTAGCAGCTGAGCAAGCAGCTCCCATATCAATTGGTACCACTCCCCTTGCTTAGCCTACAGCTCCCAGCCCAGTAAGCATGTGGAGCACAGACTACTTTATTGTGGTCTTCACAAAGGATGGACAGAGAATATACAAATTTTGTGATCATCCTGCGCTTCATCAGATTACTGGTTAGACTGTTCTTCCCATAAGTGGAGGACTCAGTGTAAAAATCTTTCAAGACAGAACCTGAAATATAATCTTCCCATGTTTGTTTTCTACCTAACAGTCAAATGTTATTTTTCAACAGGCTCCAGAATTCTTCCTTTTGACGTTGTTTCATTTAGCTCAGGATGTCAAAGAAATTTCTTGGATAGGTAAAAAAAGAAGCAGCAAAAATTAGCACACCTAGAGATTCTATTGCTCAGTTATAAGAAATAATACTGGATATCAGTTTTTGCCCCAGAGAAGGCAGCCAAAGGAGTAGCTGGACAGAAGACACCACTTCTGCAAGTTCTCTATCTTGCCTAACTTTCCTGTTGGTCCAATAAATACCTCATTATTTCGCAGGTCATAAAGTAACCTCTGAGAAGTCAAGGCTGGGAATTACGAACAAAAATCAGTGTCTTCCTGTATTCAAGAATAAGTCCACTAAAATCTGCCCTGTGTCCAAAAGTATAGGGAATATGACTGAATCCTGTCCTCAGCATCTATTACCTAGTCCCCAGTCAGTATGCTGGATTCGGGAGGATGTATTTTAAAGTGCCTAATCCTTCCTCATACATTGCCTAGGGAAAACAGGTACTGAGGTCAAGGTCATGGATTGCCTCAGGAAAATGGGCACTGACAAGATGTATGTGTAACAAGCAGTTTTTCAATCCTTTTTTTCTATGTAGCCCAATGTGGTCAAGGTTGTCCTGAGGTCTATCAAACTTGAATTAAGGGTGGGTATTACGTGACACTATCCTGCATATGTACAACCTCTCATGCCTCAAGAGATTGTGTTACCCAGTACACATCTACTCATCAGGAAAACAGTCAAATTTATTTAGAGTTACACTTACCAAAAAATACTGATATTAAATAATATTAAAACTAAGAACCATTCTTGCCAAACCAAGACAATTATATAATTTTTGTAGAATTATGAACAAAATAAAACTTACAATTTTAATTAAAAAATTAGATCTAGAAGCATATTATAATTAAAATATAACGACAAACTATTCTTACCTCCGGTTTAATGTATAAATTCCTTGGGTTAGATGATATCTCCAGGTTTTCCTCACATTTTTCTCTATTTTCGAGCTTTTTTTGTTTCAACTGATGTGACTGTAGTTTTTCATAACTATGTGTCAACTTTGAGAACTAAAAACAAAAGTAGAGTTGAACATACAGAATCTATCAAGGATGACCGCATGGCCAAAATTTTCTTTAAACTAGAATCACCACCTGCAGCTTTAGCATTCTAAATTTAATCAATGTAACAAAATAATCAATTAATAAAGATCAATTTAAAAAGTTATCACAGATGAACAAGACTAAGCTCTCATATAAATGTTAACTGACTGTTCAAATGAGCTAATTCCACAGCTACTCAATTCTGCTGCAGTTCTCCATGGCACTGTTACCCACGGAGTAATTTCTTCCACAGCGCTCATGTGCAATGTTCTACACTTGTTTACTGCCATCTTGTGTTGACATTTTTAAAGGGTGCTTCACTAGTCAGAACGGAAGATGATCATTAATGTACTCCAAACTTGTGCATTCCTTTCTTATGATGAAAATTGTTGAAATCTTATGTGTATGATGCTTGCACTCTTCTGGTACCACTGTGTGGGTCTCAGACACTAAATAGACAACAGACACTGCTGATGTCACCATGAACGCCTGGCTTAGGAGTCAGAGGCACACAAGAAAAGGTACCAGGAGAAGGACCAGCCTCTCCAGAAAAACGTTGTTTTCACACCACTTCACTACACTGCACAAAACAATTGTCTGTCTAGTGCTTTTTAACAGATTTGATACAGAAAAGTGATACTGTTTGGTAGAAATATGTACATTTGGTTTTGAAAAAAACCGCAAACCCAAGGATATTGATAAGGGAAACAATAAAAACATGGTCGTGAGTAAAGTTGAGTGAAAAAACTTTGGGAAGAATACTGTGCAGAAAAGAAGCTTACAATAAATACTGATGATGTTTCTTGTTTAATTCCTTTACGTTTAAGTACGTATGACTTTAAAAAAACCTGACTCTCACATAAGGTTTTTTTTACACCCAGACAAAATCCATAAAATCTCATGTTTTTGTTAACAGCTCAAAATGAACTACTTTTGGATATGGAATGGAATCCTGTTGAGTCAACCCTGAATGACCAATTGAGGCCTGTTCAGATAACAAACATGGCCAAGGAAGTCTAGAAAAGATACAGAACAGAAATGAATTTTAAAATAATCTGCAATCTGCCTAGACACATTTGAGATGAACTTGAGAATCTTAATACAGGATAGAAAAAACTAATTAAAAAGATGATGAAAAGATAGATTGTCCTGGACTAGAAAGTTTCATGATATGAAAAGGCCCAGGCATAGATTTCACCAAGTTGGAATGTCTGAATAGCAATTCTGTAACATGGGCATAGAGAGCTAAGTTATCACCTTCAAAACCAAATCAAAAGTCTTGCAGTGACGCTGCCTATGTTTGAAATTGACTTTGCCAGAGAACACAGTTAAGATAAAATATTTAAAATGAGTCAGAGTATCCAGGCTCAAACAACATGGAACTCATTGACCTTGGAAGAAAGATATCCTTTTTCAAATAACAGTTTGTCTCCTGAATATATTATGGCATATGTGAACTGCCTGGGAAGACCAAATTCAGATAAGACAGGTATTGGAATGTTTGTGCTAAAAAAGCTAGGAAATACAGGATCCAACAATTCAGTAAATCAGTATAAAATGGAACAGTGGCCAAAAAGAGAAAATTTAGTTTGATTCTTAGATATTTAATGACAGTAGGATTTTAAAGGCAAATTATAGTCTAGATGTTATGATGACTGGAAACTACACTACAAGCCAAAAATCTTTCCATTTCAGGCCAGATATTTTCTTTAAAAGGTGCAAGTTGTTCTATTTGCATATTGTACATGTTAAAAAAAATAAGGCATTTTAGTGAGTTCTGGGATAGAATCAATCTTAGTTTAGATTTCTGAAAGTAAGGCATACAAGCCTAAGATACTCTGCATCAGAAAAAGCTGCCTGTAAATGCTTAGTCATTTCAGTTATGTTAAATTCTTGTCATACACTGACATGAATTGTATTCTGGGGGTGTCCATTCCTTTCTGTTGATTCTAAAGGGAGCCTGGGATAGCTCAGACTCATCTTTTACATGTCTAGGTGAGGAAATTAGTTGCAAACTTCTTAGTGCAAGAATGGATCCTCATTCTTTTGCTGAGCGATTTCCATCACTTTCAAAGTGAAAATAACTACTAGACATTAATAAAAAGAAAGAAAAGAAAAGAAAAAGAAGGATCAAAGTAATGCAGATGAACCCCAGAAGTTTTTGCTATTTAGTTATAACAAAATCCTGCACATTTGAATGAATGCAACAGTGTGGCCTAGGAGTTTTAGGTTACATACCAGGAATTATTTCCCTAATACAAGAAAAATATAGGTTTTACTGCATTCAAAAGGCACACAATCAATTCAGAGGGAATACTGCTCATTAAATAGCTCATTTTAGCAGTACCAGGAGTAAAAAGCACACAGGAGCGCAGCAAAGAAATTCATTCTGAATAGCCTAGCATTCTGATAGCTACAAAAAGTGATCCTTACTATTTCTATCAAGATTAGGAAGGAAAAAATCTTAGGAAGGATTTTAAGAATAAGTCTGTAGAGAAAGACATAATGCTATTGGTTAATAGTAACACACAATTTGTGCAAAACTAAATTGTAGCTTGTAAGATTTTACAGTTTAGACGGTGGTGTAACTTCAGAGAATAAGAACCAAAAGAAGGGAATCAAAGTACATAAGGCAAAGATTAATATTGTCACAGGAGGTCTATACTTTAGATATGGGTTTGTGTAGCTGAGAATTGGGGACATTAAAGCCATTCCATTGCAGACACTGCAACACTGTAGTTCAGGAAAGAAAATAAGAGATGTAGCAAAAGCTAGAGGAGCAGAGTGGGACAGTCCTACTATCTAGCATAGGTGCTAGGAATTGCTCTGACAGGCAGACTTCTGTTTATCACATAGAAAATCAAGGCAGGCCACTTAACACAGGCATTTAACAGTTTTCTTTTTCAGTCAGGGCGAACGAGGTGGGTATTTCATAACGAAATATCATTTGGTCAAAGGACAGGAATGAGGACTGAAAAATAAAATGCAAACAGCATCAGTGCTGGAACCTTTAGAAAAATAAATAGGATGACTGAGAGAGAATGAAATGTTTAGAGACATGGATTGGGAAAGTGATGTATATTCTTAAGAGCTAGAAATCCAAAGTTCCTGCATAAAGATAGAAGAAAAAGCAATCAAGAAACTCAAAGAAAGGTTAAGTGGTCTGAGTGGTAACTAGAAAGGAGAATTTGGGCAAGAAATATAAATAGGTTTAAAGAGAAAATCTTGTAGGCTAAAAAAAGTCAGGTTCTTTAGGAAAATAAAAGAGAAAACTGGTTGTATTTGCCCATGGAAAGGACTTGTAGGGTAATTAAAAACTCCAAAATAAAAGTCTTTATGAAAAATGGCCTGGACTTTCTATTTCAGAAGGTTCTATTTCAGTGAAGATATTAGCAACAACCTGTAACATAAACCCAAGCATTTTTATCATGGGATTAAAAAAAAAATTAAGAAGTGAAAAATATTGCAGCAAATGTTGTAAAGAAAAGAGACCTCTACCATCTCTTTATGGATAGTTCTGCATTGCTAAAGATACCTTACTATTTATGCATAAAATGTCACACTCTTTTTCATTGTATGATGTTTATCTTCTCAATAATCATGATAAGATTATGCTTTTCTGTAATTTGTGTAAATTATGAACCAGCTTTTATTTCTAGCTGCTTTTCCCAATGATTAAAAGTGTTCATTACGAAACGGCCTTTGTTTTGTACAAAGCATTCACTGCCTATTTACAGAACTGTTTTCCAAATCCGTTTTCATATGTAAAAGAAAATATAAATTAAAGATAACATTAAAAATAAGTAATACGTTTATTCATTTGATGGACTCAGGTGTACTATCACTGATAAATGAAAATAATGATATCAAATATATGCAGTCTGACATCTCTATATATAGTAAGTGTGGTGACTGGAAATTCTAACTCTGTCTCTGGTAGGAGAATCCAGTGAAGGGAATAGAAAAGTAGCAGGAAAAATAATGCAGAGTTGTGTACCTTAGTTGTTAAAATCTGAGAAATAGAATCAACTCAAGTTTGCTAAGAATTTAGATTGATGATTGAAGTAGAAAATACTGAAGAAACAAAAACACAGGTGCAGAGCAAACAGCCAAACTGAATCATAAAACCACAGAATGGTTTGGGTTGAAAGGGAGCTTTAAAAGATCATCTAGTCCAACTCCCCTGCCATAAACAGGGACACTTTCCATTAGACCAGCTTGCTCTAAGCCCCATCCAGTCTGGCATTGAACAAGACCAGGAATAGAGCATCCACAACTTCTCTGGGCAACCTGTTCCAATGCCTCATCACCTTCACTGAAAAAACCAATAAATTGTTCCTCAGGTACAGTCTAAATCTGCACTCATTCAGTTTAAAACTCTTGTCCTTTTTCTCAGCCTGTCTTCACGGGAGAGATGGCCCAGACCCCTCTGATCTTCTTTGTGGCCTCCTCTTGACTCGTTCCAACAGGTCCAAGTGTTTCTTGTTCTGGGGACCCCAGAGCTGGACACAGCACTGCAAGTGGGGCCTCATCAGCACAGAAAGGAGGGGGAGAACAACCTCCCTCAATCTGTTGGCCACATTTCTTCTTATGCAGCCCAGGATACAACTGGCTTTCTGGGCTGCAAGAACACTCTGAAATAAATAAAGTCAGAACAAACTCCCAGCATCATAATGTGGGTTACTCCACTTTTGATACAATGGAAATCTATACCTTGTGGAAAACTATCAGGCCACTTTAACAGTTGAATAAATCAGAGAAACTAAAACCAGAAAAAAGTATAGCAAAGACATTATAAGCACAGTATAAATCTTAAAATCCCTAACGTGCATCACACTCATATTAACATGAATCCAATTACCTATTTTATTCATTCACCAAGGCTTTAGTTTATTAGTTTGAAGCTAGGAAATCAAGTATCTGTCTTCATAACAGATGTCACATCCACATCAAAATCCATCCAAAGAGTTTCGACATGACAATACATAAATTATAATGGAACCTGGTAGGAAGCTGTAGTCATCATCATTTGTACAGCACAATTCATCTTTCCCAAATCCATAATGGCACATCTAAACAATTTGGCATGTATAAGTTTCTTATATTGCAATCACAAAATAATGAAACTGACATTTTTCTTACTTGAGATTTCAGTGCTTGAAGCTGACTTTCATAACTCTGAGCCATTTCATTTTTAGTTTTCTGTAAGTTTTCCAGTTCTTGTTGAAGTAGTCCCACCTACAGTTAAAATAAGCATTCACATGTACATTTTCTGACATTTTTCAAAATACATAATTTTTGGGAAAGTAATTTGAAACTTTGAAAGAAGACCAATGCTTTAAGGAGAGATATTAAAGGTAAGTATTAATCCAGTAACTTGATAATAAAACTGTGTACCACAGACCCAGACTGTATCAACATCAAATTAGGGATTTTATACTAAAAAATCTCATTGCACGCTGATGCTATGATTTAATCATAATATTGTACAAGTCTGTCATGAATAGACCATTTCTGAAAGCTTTTTTAACTGAACTATGCTGTTCCCCATTGTGAAAATTTCCCTTGCATGGCTTATAAAATGATACAAATTACCTTCCAGTATTTATGTACCAATTACCAGAAGACACTATAGCTCCCTAAGTGCAGTGCCATTTGCGATATTATGAATTATTACTGAGTTTCACAGACACCTGAGAAATATGAAAGACAGTACACATGGCACCTGTGCTTTTCTGGAGGGGAAGTTGGAAGCTTGGTAGAATATGCTAAAATATTTCAGATAATGTCTCTGTACAGTGAATAAATTGATGCTTTGAGAATGGGCTATTTGAATTCTTCTCTTGGTTCCTCTGACTGCAGGGACTAAGGGCAAGCTCTTAATTGCTCATTAGGGAGAGTCACTCTATTTTCAAAACTCCCACGGGCAATTTAGCCACCTAGCTCACACAAAGGATGCCCTCGTGTAAACACCTAAATTCAGCTGGCTTGAACTGGAACTGAATGCTATGTGAGGATTTCTTGATGCTTCTGAATAATTATTCAGCAGAAAAGAATGTGAAGTACAGACAACATCAGGTACACTGGGGCTTTAAGTTTAATAAGAAAGTCTAAGTAGCAATACATTTCAAGCCTTGACACAATGAATAAAATTATCATACAAAGATAGTATATAATGTAAAATGTTAAAAATCAGGTATAAATCAGGTAACAAAGACATAATCTTGAGAACCTTTTTGAACTGCATTCTTCCATTTAAAATTTCTCATGAAATGAGAAGTGTTGGCATTTAGAAAAAACATCAAATTATCTTTTTATAGCTAACCCAAGAATATTTGATGTATACTTTGGGGAAATAGAAGAAATATGAGATTTCCAATGACATTTTTACAATCACTTTTCAGAACAGAAGCACACTTTAAAACAAAACACTAAGGATAATTAGTGACCTTTAAGGGATGTTTGGTATTTTTACATGATAGAACAAATGGTCTCCTTATAGAGAATTTAAAGCATACTAATAAGAAACTACCAGAATAAATACTATTTTAATAGAATGTAATATTCTTAAATACCTCTTGACCTTTTTGATCCAGTTTGCTTTGGGCACTTGCTAATTCTTGATCCTGGATATCCATCTTTACTTCCAAAGCTCTCATCTTTCTTTCCCATTCTACTTGCTTTCTGTTTACCATAATGTCAATTTGATGCACTAATTCCTGAAGTTCAGCTTCACATGGAGAAGCTCTAAAAACATAAAGACTTTTTTTTTTTTTCAAATAAAGAATATGGGAGAAACCATATTTTTACTTACACTGCTACAATTCTGTTTTAATTGTGATCAAACTAACCATTTTCCAACAACAGAGATAAAGAAATGGGAAAGTTAAATGATGCCTTCATATGTAGGTGGAACCTCACTTCATCAATCTTGAGTTTGCCTGCATGCTTAACTTTTGACTGCACTAAACTGAAAAAACAGCTTCTTAATGTGGAGATGGGTTTATCACAAATCTTTTATTTGGTGCTCAAATAGTGCACATCTCTTGTTTAGATAATTATTAAAGGAAATTTGAGCGAATTCCTTAGATTTATAATATCATAATTAAAACTTAGCATGATTTTTTAAAGTTAAATTCTTTAAAACTTCTTTTACATCCACAAATCCTTGAAACTGTAACGGTATCAATGTTAAGCTTGGAAGGGCTTTTTAAATGCACACATAAATCTTAATGACTTTTTAATGTTAAAACTGTTGTAATGCCGTTTTGAAATTTAATACGAATCCTGGGATGACAATAACCAAAGTGCAAGCAAGTGATGCATATCTCTCAAAAGAAAAACACCCACCTCCCAAGTGCTGGAACCCATTTTAAAAGTAGCATTAATGATGGGTAAACTTTGATTGCCTCTGGGAGGAATATAAAATGGAATTTTGAAAACAGAAGATAAAGCAATACTGCTTAATCAGGTCTACCTGCTACATCAAGACTACCTTTTCCTTGATACTGCTGTAAAAACCTGTACACTTTCAACCTCCTCTAATATCACATGGCAACACTTTGGTGAACCAACAGCAATGGCTCAGCTATGTGATTTCAGTTTTCAGAAACAGGTACTTGCTTTATTGTGTGTCACATGGATAATCTAAATATTTTTATGCCAGTAAGAACCCAACTTCTAGCCTAGATCGTCAGATTACTCTTTCAGATCCACCATGACTAACACCCTTCACTCTTAAATTTCACCTGCCTCTTTCAGATCTTCCTGCACACAGCAAATTCTGCATAAGTTGCTAAAATATTTTTCTCTTAACTGTTCTTGCATTCTTCTTGAACCTAGAGGCATCATTATATAAAAGGGAGCTGTTGAAAGAAAAACCCCTTCTGAAAGAGCTAAGAGCGTCTCAGTCTATCTTCACTTTCTCTAATTCCATACTTGGATCCTTTAAGCACACTTGCAGCTGCAAAAGGAAACATGTACATGAAGTTGTACATTACTGCTGCTGTTCTCCTACCAAAACTACTCTGTACCAAGGCTCTGGTATTGAACACAGATCTGCCCCCCACTAGCAGAGAGGTGCTACTTGCTGCAGTAACTATTGCTTTAGTCCAATAGCGTTTTGAAGAGTGCTAATTAGCCCTCTCAGAATATGGCTGATTATATGGCATCGCATTCATGACAATTTATTTTGATCACTGGATGTGGAATGTAGTGGTTTCTTTTATTTAATAAGGTATCATGTAAACAAACACACAAAGAACGAATTTTCTCATAAGCAAAGAAGTATGCATGGGTTTTTTTACCCATGCAGATTCAGCATTCCCAGTTTGCTGAATGCATACATTGAATGGATTTGTCATACAGGGAAGTAAAGACCTGTACTTCAGCAAGTGGCAGCTACTTTTTTTTTGGCTCATTTACTTTGAAACAGCTCAAAACACTTAAAGTTATCTTAGTCTTCTTTTATTCTGTCTCCATATAAGTGAAAATAGAGATGAATCATATTCTACTGTCATTAATAACTATTTATCTTCATGTAAAACAAAATGTTTCCAAATTTAGACAAAAATCCAGATAAAAAGTTTTACCACCTCCAGGCTTTCTTCTTTATCACAAACAATTTTTGCACTCGTTAGACCTTTCTAGCTATATTTACCCATCTTTTGTTTTGGACTTCTGCATAAGTCTGCATTTTTCTGATTGTTTCCCAACAGACATAGAACATTGGTAATTGTCCATACACTCTAGAATAGTTGTTATTTAAAAACAGATGACTTAAGAAATGTTTGGTTCATACTTGTTCTGTCTTGACTTTATACTTTCTTCCCTTATTATTTACATTTGCTCACAAATAGGAAAATAAACATGGCCATATTTATGCAAACACAAGCAGAACTTATTCAATCTTACATAGTATATTCCTTAGGTTTGGATATTTTCCATAGCTTCTCCAGTCAATACGAATTCATTTTATTATTGCAAACATTGTTCTAAAATAGGAAATATACAAACCAGTTGTAATAGGATCTTCTACCCCAAAGTTCCATTATAAGAACTACAACTAACTTTTTAAACATCTTTCAGCCATACTGAATCATACACATTTATGGATAGACAATTTGTGATTTATGAGTCCTTGCAGCTGGAATGTAATTGTCATGATTTTCACCACCATTACTCAGCCATTTTCCCAAATTTTAAAGGCCCTGCATTAACCCTGGAATACGGTCAGCATAGACTGAAATAGTTTCCCTTCAGTGAAGATGTATCCTAAACTACTCTTCCAGATTCTTTCTATAGTTAATGGAAATAGCAAGCTAGCAAGAATTATGGTTTATGATTCATATGCAATAGCCTGAAATTTCATATATTGATTAAAATAAAGGCAAGGCAGAGTCCTGAATTTTTGAAATAGATTTCTGACTTGTAGCCAAAGAATACCAATACCTTTGGTGTCTTCTAATTCAAGTTTTTATATGGCTACTTTTACAAATCATGTAACTATGATATGAAAAAGAATTCCCTCAAAGGAAAAAATAAAGGGAGGAGCACCACACTGATCAGAATATTTTACTGCAGCAATTTATATCTATCATGAAAAGTGCATGCATTATTCTTCAGTATGACACAGCACACTTTTAAATCCAATTAAAAATGTCTTGGGCCAGAATAAGGTATAATAGATCATGCCTCTTTTATTTTAAGAAATCCTTTTACGCTTAATGTGTATCTTATCACGTTGTGTTGTTTCTTGGTAATAATGACAGAATAAACTGGTTTATTTGAAAAGCAGTTAGTAAGTTTATTTACAAAATTATGATGGATAAATATTCTGTTCAAGTCATTAAGTGCGGAAGCACTTCTTATGTTTGTGTGTTCCTTGAAGATGCTGAATGGGATCAGTTCTTACACCAAATCTTACTCAGGTTCACACTTCTTTAGAAAGACTTTGTGCTAACATATTTTTTAGATTAATACTAAAGATTAATACTAAATACTAACTTTTTTTCTAGATTAAGATTAAAAGAACTAAACTTACATTATGTAAAAATAAAAAATAATTATGTGTTTTTACGAAAAGTGCACTTAATACTTGGGGAGAACAGTTGTAGTTATTATCTGTGCAAAATAAGGCTTGGGCTTTAGCAATGAATCTTGTTTTCAAGATTCTTAATGTTTTAAGAGCTGTGATATGTTAAGTTTATACTGCTGTAGCCTAGCAACTTCAAGTACTTTAAAAAAAAAAGTTTGAAATAACGTTTCTTAACATCTTAATAAAACCCCACATAGCTTTCATTTCCACCCACCCCTCCCCACCTTGGTTCAGGTATGAATATTTAAACATTTAAATAACTAACAGAAACAGTGAGTAGAGTATAAGCCAAAGCAATAAGATGTCTTAATTAGCAGCAACTTCTCCAGTTTGCGTGGAAAGTAGAAGAAATAGAGAATCAAGTTTCCTTCCAAAATCATTAATATTTTGTGTTTCACATTTTTAATAAACCTACATAATTCCATCAATATCAACCTACATCAATTCCATCATATATTCAACTCCCAAGACAGTAAGTCATTACGTACTTAGTCACATCTTGTTCCTGGAACACTTCTAAGTCCTCCTCCATAACACTGATTGTTGTTTTAACCTGTTAGAACACCAAAAATCAAGTAATTCAGATTCTTAAATGCATTCATTTACATAGCCAAGTAGTGCAAACTGGACAGTTCTATGCTTTCCTCTCATACTCTGCAATTTTCTCATTGCAAAGAAGGACAGGGAAGTGTAGCTCTAATCACAGGCTGGAATGGGCAAGACAAAAACCTGGGGAGTAAGATCAGCTCTCTGACAACAATTCTCGCACTTGGTGCAGCACTGAGATACCAGAGGTGGTGCTGAGCTTGAACCTAGCCCCGGGTCTCCATACGGAAATATGTTTTTGATCACTCCCTGCTGTGTGATGTCAATAATCTGCGAAGACTCTTTGAAGCACATAAATCTAAATTTGCCATAGATCCATGACTGCGTTCATCAAACATTTGTACCTTTGCTCACCGTGATTAACTAACCTCCACCCAGGCTAAAGCTGCTCTCAAACACAATTTCGGATTCCTATGGACTAGTCACTCCCTTTCCTGGCAGATGCAGTCTGAGACAGGCAACCCTCAAATACCCCGGCAGGAAGATCAGAACAATGCTATTGCTGAGACCAGTCCGGTTCTGCGGGTCCAGCAGGGCACAAGGATGTGGGGGCATGCCTGCCTGCAGGAACATTATGGGTGACGGGGGAGTACGAAACAGCCCTCATTCCTCCTGGGCAAGGGCAGGAGGGCTCTCAAGAGCACGGGTAGCAGTACCCACAAGCGTGTGGGAAACAACACATGGCACTGCAGGGGAAAAAACACATGGCACTGCAGCCTGGGCTCCACAGGGAGCAGGCACCTGCGGTGACATTGCCAAAGGCGTGCTGTCTCCACAGGAGACCCGCACCGGAGGTGACACTGCCAGAGGGGCGCTGGCTGAAAAAGGACCAGGCACCAGAGGCGATGCTGCCACAGGACCAGCCATAGGATAGCGAAACCTGAGGTGACACCGGCACAGGGACAGCCTTGGCTGAGCCGGGCACCCGAGGAGAGCGGGGCACGGACAGCACCCGCCGGGCTTCCGCGGCCGCCCCTCCCCTCCCGTTACCTGCCGTGCTCCCCGCTCCGCTCCTGCCGCCCCCGCTGCCGCTGTGGCCGCGGTACGAGCCCCGCAGCCCGGCCACCCCCGGCTCCGGGCCCGCCACAGCTCCCGCCCGTCGCCGCGGTAACGCGGAGCGCGGCGGGCGAGGCGGGAAGGCGGCCGGGGCAGGGCCGGGGCAGGGCCGGGGCAGGGCCGGGGCCGGGGCAGGGCCGGGGCAGGGCCGGGGCAGGGCTGGGCCAGGGCCGGGGCCGGGGTAGGGCCGGGGCAGGGCCGGGGCAAGGCCGGACGCCGGCCCCGACGGGCGCTCGGGAAGCGGCGCGGGCATCCGCGGTCACTCCCTGCGTCCCTCCGTCGATCCGAATGTAGCTGGAGTGACATTTCACCACGGGAAGATTTCAGCCGGGGTAAAGAACATGTACTTTTCCTTTAACATAACTTAAGAAATCAGTAGGCAAGGTGTTTGCTTTTTGTTGTTTTTTTTTTTTTTTTTTTCCCCTTCACCGTAAAACACTGTTATTTCTAGATAGTGAAAAGGCTGAACATTACCCTTTCCTGCCTGAATGACTAGTTATGCTTTTGTTAAAAGGCTTCAAATGATTTTCAGATTATTTTGCTAACGACCTTGGCCTGATGTCTTTCCATTCTTGTGGCCTTCAGTCTGTCTTACTGAACAACTAAATGCTAAAATGCTAAATGCTTTTAGGAATCACAGCTATTTCAGCTCCTTACAATAATAATTTGGGGGAGTTTACATCTCTTCAAACACCAGTGAGTTTTTCTACCAGGATGATACCATTCACTTTGTTTGTATTGTCCTGAAATTTCACGGGGCAGTTTCAGGAGCTGCTAGTCTATTTCTGTGCACTACATGTCCACCTTTGGCTTTTGGCTTTGTTTTTCTTATTATGTTTACTGAAATTAGCTAACTGAACAGTAGTTTTAGCACCAGTTCTAAGGAATAATCTATTTCATTGGGTTCCTACATACTGCGCTGTGGCAGATCCTTTTCGTGTCAGCAGAAATGCTGTTTCGAGCTGTGAAATACCATTTTAATTTTTTTTTTTTAATAAGACACTAAAATAAAATTATATGCGGAGTTTCAGGAAAGTCACAGAACGACAAAAATATTAGGACTGGAATGGACCTCACGAAGATCATCTCTCTGGAGATCATTGTGTCCAACTCCCCTGCCAAGGCAGGGCCACCTAGCACATGTGATAGGAACCCCCTGATGAGGTTTGCCTGTTGATTCTAGAAAATAAGAGTTTTCTCTTGTAGCCAAGCCCCTCAGGATGACAGGAGAAAGCTGTGGGACCAGATGCTGCACTCCAAGCCCTGAAAAAGTTTTCTTCATTACACTTTTAATACTTCATTACACTTTTCTTCATTATTTACATGCTGCAATTGAGTTAACATTTCAAATATAATTAAATTCTTATAATTGAAATAGTTTTGAGATTTTTTTAAGATAGTGAAATTTGGGGTTATTTTAAATACTGAGCTTTAAGACGATTTAAAGAATTATATACTAGAAGTAATTTCTAATGCAACTGCCAGCAAATTTCCATTTTTTTCATCTACTCAATCAAAATGAACTTTTCAGCCATATTCCCAGTGTATATCTTTTGATTTCCTCCCTATCTTACCCTCTCTCAGTGGTAATCAGTTATTCAGAAATTAAACTTCCATCTGTCATGCCTAAATAGAATTGCGAGGGGGGGTAACTTAAAAAATACAGAAAAATAATTTTTAAATTACTTATCTACATTTTCAAAGCTTTTTAGAATGACAATTCCACTGCCAATAGCTGGAGTTGTGTTTCTAACTCTCTAATGTATATCCAAATACCTCCCTCACTATATTAAAAAAATCCCGTATCAAATTGCTGACCTTTTCTATTTGCTTTTGCTCATCCACATCATCTCTTGACTAGAGGTTGTCTTACGAGACTCAAAACTGTTGTTTGTTGGCTTTAATGAACATGCCTTACAAATTGTGACAGCCAGCCAGCCAGCTAGCCAGCCACAAAAAAAAAAAAAAAAAAAAAAAAAAGAGTAATTTCAAGTCAGCTTGTAAGCGCATTTCTGCAGGAAAAGAAAGAAAGTGGACCAGGGCAGGTACACAATGGAGTGTGAACAAATGTCAAACAAGGCAAGGTATAACACTGATCTATTTAAAAAACGAGGGGGACTAGGCATTAGCTAGGAAGCTGCCTTGCAGAGGGATCTCACATTGAAGCGTTAGGCAGTGATTAATGGGATGAAATTTAACAAGTCAAAATGTTGGATTCTGTACCTAGGGGGTGAGAGTTTCTAATACTAAAGCAGTAATACACAATTCAAGATAGAATATTTTCAGAGTGGAATGAAAGTGGTGGTGTTAAAGGAGTAGCATAATTTAGATATAATTTCAGTGGTAAAGGCTTATATACCTACTAGTTATCCTTCCTAGGTATTTATCACTTGAATTCTTCAACATGTGTTAGGTTTGTAGTGCAATATGTTATAGCAGGTAAAAGCTAAGTGCATTTGTGTATTTAACTTTAAATACAGATTGTATTTACAGGATATATTCACAACTTTGCAATCTCAGATGACAGATTTGATTGAACATTTTGTTCCAGTAAGCTCAGCACAGTTCTCATAAGAAACAGACTCATTTCTTTAGCATAGAAACCACATGATTTTAGTGATATTTATGTGATGGATTCATAGCAGCTCTATAAAAGTTTATTAATTGCATTCAGTATGTTACTTTGAATGCATATGGACACCCCAACTTAATTTACAGAAAAGAAAAGGAATAGCTGAGTATAAGCCATCCATCAACAACTATGAAGGAGTCACTGAGAAACAATAAAATCTATGAAAAAGATCCTTAAGACATAAGCAATAACAGAAGAATGACATTTTAAAAAGAACCTTTGCAAGAGGGATTTCTGCTTGTGAAAATGAGACAGGCATAAAATGTGTCTGAAGATTCTGAAAGTGCCTAACTAATTCACTGGCAGGAGCTGATAAATCCTGACATAATACAGACATAGATGAGGAGTACTGTTTCTAAATATTTTGTTTCTAGTTTAAACTGAAAACTACTCTTTTCTTAAGCAGCTTGTGAAATCACTGAAGGAAAGAACAGAAAGAGTTTGGATTTAGTAGGATTTGCCAGGTATACCAATTGATATGTTTTACTGTAGGCTGAAACCTTGGAGTAGAGAATTGCAAGAATTTATCCTGTAAGAAGAAATCTGAAAATTAAGGGTAGTGCTCTGGGAGAATGCAGACAGGAGATAAAGGTGACATGAGGCATGTTTTTGTGACAATTAGAAATCAGTCTTTCTGTGTCAGTCTCTAAGGATGACAAAAAATAATGGTAGAATCACGTAGGTTGGAAAAGACCCTTAAAGATCATGGAGTCCAACCTCTAACCCAGCACTGCCAAGTCCACCACTCAACCATGGCCCCAGGCACCACATCTACACATCTCTTACATACCTCCAGGGATGGTGACCCCACCACTTCGCTTGGAAGCCTGTTCCAGTGCTTGACAATCCTTTCAGTGAGGAAATTTTTCCCAATCTAGGATCTAAACCTTACCCAGTGCAACTCTGAGGCCATTTCCTCCTGTCCTATCCCTTGTTATTTGGGCAAACAGACTGAACCCTACCTGGCTACACCCTCCTTTCAGACGGTTGTAGAGATCAGTAAGGTCCCCCCTGAGCCTCCTTTTCTCCAGGCTAAACACCCCCAGCTCCCTCAGCTGCTCCTCACAGCACTTGTGCTCCAGACCCTTCCCCAGCTCCGTTCCCTTCTCTGGACACGCTCCAGCCCCTCCATGTCTTTCTTGCAGGGAGGGGCCCAGAACTGAACACAGGATTGGAGCTGTGGCCTCAGCAGTGCCCAGTACAGGGGGACAATCCCTGCCCTGCTCCTGCTGGCCACACCACTGCTGATCCAGGCCAGGGTGCTACTGCCCTTCCTGGCCACCTGGGAATTCTGCTACTTCATGTTCAGCCACTCATTGACCAGCACTCCCAGGTCCTTTTCCACTGGACAGCTTCCCAGCCATTCTGACCCAAGCTTGGAGCATTGCATGACATTGTTTTAACCTAAGATCTTTGTTGAATTTTATCAGTATAATGCTAGATATTGTCTGCACAAAAGAACAATTGCTTGTTTAAAGCTTTCTGATAATATTTTTCTGGAAACTCATAGTAGTGTTTAACATTACTGCAACGTCTTTCAGTATGGCATAGTCTTTAATTTGTAGTTATTCCTACTGAAGCATAAAAATATAAAAATATTTTATGGTTTGACCATGTGGATGGTTTCTAGCTCTACAGATAAAAATACTTATTGGTTAACATGTTTTTACTTATCAAATGAAATAGTCTGTTGTCTGCAATTTAAAAAAAGACTGTTAAACTTGAGACTGTACATTTCATCTGTTGCTATATATTCTGCCACAGATCCCTCAGTTTCTACATTATGCCATACTGACATAAGAATTTCTTAAAAATTATTCTGGTTAAGATAGGCAAATTATAGAAAAAAATAAACACTCTAGAAGCATAAATTTGACTTTGTACTG